ATTCGAAAAGAACGAGCGGGAGGCCACGAAGCTGAGATTCATCTATGAACAATCTCAGCAAGAAAATGCTAAACTCGAGGAACTAGTCAACAATCTCCGGGCGGAGAACCATGACCTGCAAATCAAGTCCGCCCGATTCGAACGAGAGTTCATCGAAGCCCGTGAGAGCAGCCGCGTCGAGATCCAGCGCACTCGCTCCTCGATGGAGGCAGACCTTGAAGCTTCTAACAGCCAGGTCAACATTGTGCGTGCCGAGCTGGAGGCCCAGATCATTCGTCTGCAGACTCAACTTGACAACAACCGCATGGATACCGATACCTCTCGCGAGCGCTATGAGCTTCTCCTCGAAGAAGCCAGGGACTCCAAGGCCACCGCCCTGGCTGCTAAGGATCTTGCCATTGATGAGAACCGCAAGATTCATGAGCGGGTTCTCAATGACCTCCGTGAACGTCACGCTCGCGCTTTGCATAACTCTTCGGAGGATCGTGCCCGCGGTGAGAGTCATAACATGGAGCGCATGGCTTTGTCCGAGGACAAAGCTAACCACCTGCAAGAGCGCGTGAACCTCCTCGAAGAGAAGCTTGAGATCGCTCAAGCTGCTGCCCGTGCTGCTGCTGAGGCAGCCCACAGCGCCAAGGCAATCCCCAGTCCAGTGCCAGACGCTGCACCCTCGCACTCGCGGGGAACGCCATCCATATCCTACAACAAGGGATCCGCAGAGCCTGAAAGAATCTCTCCTCAAGCCCTGCGCGAGTCAATCTTCGTCCTCCAGGACCAGCTCCAGCAGCGCGAGACACGCATTGAAGAACTCGAGCAAGAAGTCTCCACGATAGATAAAGACGCGCCAAATAAGATCAAGGAGAAGGACACAGAGATCACCTGGCTGCGTGAACTCCTAGGCGTTCGCATCGACGATCTGCAAGACATAATCCAGACTGTGTCCAAGCCCTCATTCAACCAGCAAGCCGTCCGCGACGCAGCCATCCGCCTGAAGGCCAACCTCCAAATGCAGCAGCAAGAAAAGGAACGCCTAACAACCGGCAACCTCCCCTCCCTCGCGGACCTTGCCGCCTCACCCCGCTCCCTCCCCCTAGCCGCAGCCGCCGCCTGGGGAAATTGGCGCAAAAGCCGCGAGTCTGCGGCCAACACCTCCGACCAGACCCCATCAAAGCCTAGCAACGCGAGCACCTTCCTGTCAGGCCTGCTAACGCCCCCAAGCTCCAACGTTCGAGAGAATAGTACTGGCCCGCAAACCAGTGCTGCCGCGCGGTTTGCACAAACTCGCCCCTTGAGAGGCTTCAAGTCGGCCCCAAGACGCGGCTCAGTTCGCAGCCCGGCTTCTGTCATTGAACCGCCTCAAACACCGCCTCTTCTCCGTCGCTCGAGTTATGACCATGACGCTGAGCCGGCGAACTACGAGGACGGGAGCTTCGCGGATGAGAATGAGAGCACCGTTGATGGGATGGTTTCGGCTTCGCCGAAGGGAAGGGACGATGAGGGTCCGTTTGGGCCTCAGATCAATGAGGCTGAAGCCGAAGAAAGCGATATTCAGGCCGACGCTGACGCTGACGTCTCCTCTTCCGACGAACCCTCCACTGAGGAAGAGTGATTCGGCTACCCTTGATCATTACCCATAGATTGTCTTGAACTCTCCATCTCATCTCGGTGTTTCTTTGCTTTTTTCTTTTCTTCCGCCAGAAAAAATAACCACAGACCGAATCACCGATCTGTGATATCTTTGCATTTATCGTTTACTACTGTCTCTGCGTTTGGTGCCAGCGCCATTTCCCAGATTTCTCTCCTCTCGTTACATCCATATTCCCCCTTTCGACATACATACCTATCTTCCGGCTTCATGGCCGTTGATCAATGTTTGCGTTTTCGGATCTGATACCATACCGTTATTTCGCTTGCTTTTCTACCTCCCATCTCCCAGAAGACCTTGTACATTGAATATCCTACTTCACATTTTTTTTCATGTCCTATCGTTTACATCCCTTCTATACATACTAATAGTCAATCTCTGTCATTCTTTACTTTCTGATTGTTCTATATTATCCATCCATGTCCCCTTTTTGTGATGTCCTCGTCGGATGTAGCTTGTTGATACACGCTTCCCGTTGCGTTTCTTGTGGCTTATTACTGTTTGAATATTTACTATTTTCAAATAACTTCAAACGCCTTACTACGTTACTGTTACATTAATATTCTAGTTGTAGTGCCAATCTCCCTTGTAGCTGTGTATGAGTAGAAGACTTTCTCTGTGTTGTAGGTATCAAGATTCATCTAGCCATGCCATATTTACTTTCCTCTGGTATGAGTATTCCATTGGCCACTAAACATCAAATACCATATGTGATAATTTCTTGCTAAGTGTCTGAAATTGGTCAATTGGAAGTTTTTGTCACTGTTTTACGATAAATATAGTCGTGGAGTTGTAGTTGATGCACTGGGGAACGATATATATGTTGCGGTATAACTTGCCAAATTATAAATAATCATTCAATTAAATGTCGGGCCCGTAAAAGACCCAACCATACCAACAAATAGACCTAGAGAGACCGAGTACCCATCTTACAATCTAAACTCAAGTCCAGTATACTTCGAGCCAAGACCGAATCTCAAGGCGGAGCGGTGTTTATTGAAAGTGGTCCGAGCGCCGCCAATTGACACCTTGCGCGTTGACAACTAACACCAACATCACCATCACTCAACTTGTCAATTCCCCCAGACTCACCGGAGTCAGCCGAAACCTTCCACTATGCGATTCTCAACAAGCACCATCCTGGTCACCGCGCTGGGGTGGATCACCGCCGCGACCGCACACACCATCCAGCTCAAGGCTCACTCACGAGAATGCTTCCACGAGTCACTGCACCGCGACGATGTCATGACTGTCACTTTCCAAGTTGGAGATCGGGAGTTTGGAGGGAGTGGAAACCTTGAGGTTGATTTCTGGGTATGAACTATCCCGGTCATGATCCTGGTGTTGTGTGTTTCGGGTGTCGCTCGGGAGTCCTCTTCTGCTCCGATGGTGGCACTGGAGTGGTATATCAGACCTAGAAACCGAGAGGTCTACGTCTTCGGGGACTAATCCAGCTGCTACATCGGAATGGACGGACAATTCAAATGAAGAACACAAATACTAATGCTCGGTCGCCGCAGGTCGAGGATCCCCTGAGAAACCGCCAGTACTTCAAGCAAGCCGTTGCCTCTGACGACTACTCCTTCACCGCACAGGCGGACGGAAAATACAACTACTGCTTCAGCAACGAAGGCTGGACCTCGAACTCCAAGGAGGTCTCCTTCAACGTGCATGGAATTGTCTACGTTCCCGAAAACGAGATGGCACAGGATCCCCTCGAGGTCGAAGGTAAGCGCGGGGAACAACAGCCGACGGAAAAACATGGAGACTGATTATCTGGTACTATCTAGTTCGCAAACTTAGCGAGGCTTTGACGCAGGTGAAGGATGAGCAGTCGTACATTGTCGTGCGTGAGCGAGTACACCGCAACACCGCAGAGAGCACCAACGGCCGTGTGAAATGGTGGAGTATGTTCCAGCTTATGGTGGTTATTGGCGAGGGAGTGTTCCAGGTGTGGTGGCTCAAGAGATTCTTCGAGGTACGTGGGTTCCTTTGATAGAGATACCGGAAGATGAGATACTAATGCTCGATGTGCAGGTCAAGCGTGTGGTTTAAACCATATTAACCGTCTTTCCTTGATCAAAAACATCTCCTTTTCCCTTTTGTTATGCATCGATGAGCGGCAATTGTGGATTTTGGTATTTCTGGACCAGTTCGTTTTCAGCGCGATTTACCAGGATAAATTCATCACGTTTTCACGCCACGGTGTCATGCGATCATCAAGTCTATATAATATAAATCTGTACTACCGCAGTGACCCAGATGATCATGATGTGGGAGTTATATACTTGTGTAGTGTTGTAGATGTCTCGAGGATGCAGTGGCTGGTAAAAGTACCGCAGCCTAAAAATGCGGAGATCCAACCGCGCGAATTTCCCAATTGATAATGTCGCATGTTTGGGCTGTAAATAAAAGCCTTTGAGAAAGTACAAAGTAGGAGCGGTTTCTTGCAATTCATTTATTCTTTTATTTCACTGTGACGGGTATACATCGACCCCGCAACTTAGCAGAGACAAAAGTACAGGAAACAACCTCTCAATGCAAGGGAGGAAGTTTGACTATCGAGGACAGGAACAAGGACCCAATACCTGATATCACGAGCACCTTACATGGTATTCTACCTTGGATAGTGATGGACGACCTCGAGGGAAACACGAGCTTTCCTCTGAACAACTCAAACAACCCGAACAACCCTGATCCTACCGATCCCCTCTTCCATGCTTGCTGGGGTCGACAGTCGTGTTCAAGTTGCCTGAGTAGTGATGTTGCTTGCAGCTGGTGTGCTATAGTAGGTCACATCCTCTTATGACCAGCTTTACTTTGTAGTTAAGCTTGATTCTCCCCTTCTCCCCCTTCCCCGTCATTTGCATTCTATATGCGCAAGCTCCCCACTGTATTCGTTTCAAATCCTTCTCCCTTGCGTCCCCAGCCTTCAGAATGGGGAGAGGGGTTTCACGCCCACATCTACCACGGACCTCCCATTATTGCGTTGTGCTTTGACTTGATCGGCACAATTAGGCTCATGATCTTCTGCTCCGTGCTGGAAGAAGCTGACTATTGATTCCTACGCTATAGTCCTCGACCTGTGTTCCTAACCCATCGCGGGTCCCGATATTTGCGCCCTTCGGCTCAGAAAACATATGCCCCCTTGGCTCTAAGGAGAGATGGGAACTGAGAGCTACACCGTTTGGGTGCCACGCTAGTACTGTGACTGTTCTGTCGGTATTGAGTGCTGTGCTTGCGACGGTGGCGTTAGGCGTGGTAGGGGTTGGGTTAGTGTGGCTTGTGCGCTGGACCCGATGGCGTTGGAAGTGGGTAGAGTATGAGCAGACTGATGAAGAAGGGCAAGGGTCATCTAGGTGGCGAGGTTGGGGTTTGGGGCTTGGATCCTTTGCTGGTATCTTTCCTCAATGGAGGCGGACTGAGGGTCAGACTGAAGTCGAGGCGGAAGAAGCAGAGACAAGGCCGCTGTTGGAGTAGATTCAAAATGCGAGCTGATGCTAAATTTATGTTTATAGCTGAACATGAAATGCACAGAGGGCGTTTCTTGGTTACTATGTAAATTGCTATACAAATCAAGCCACGCAGTTGATCATCTCACGTACAACCAAAGCAATCTCCTCGGCAGTCTGCTTCTTTCTTGGGATTAAATGCCCCGCGCCATGATCAAACAGATCAGCGCTGTCTGGATCGCACATATTGTATAGTGCCATTGACCCATCAAGGAACGGGTCCGACGCACCAACAACATGGCAGGTGGGAATAGTGATCGGTTCTTCATTATAGTCGTCAGCTGTAAGAAGTTTACCAGTCACCGGGTGAAATGGTGGCCATCCACCGAAAAAGATGGCGCATTTAAGTCGAGGTTTCCGACCAAGTTCTCTCTCTCTTCTTTGCTCTTCCAGAATAAGCGACGAGGCGATTTGGGCGCCCTCAGAGAAGCCAATCACACCATCAATGTCGTCTTCACTGTCAAGAATGCCAACTAGATGGTCCACGACCTCGATGATACACGAGAATGTGGGATCGCCTGCTGCCTCCGAGGCTGCTTTCATTGCCTCTTCTGGGGTGTCGCGTTTCGGGAAATCACTCATGTTCGTGTGGACCAGTGCAGGCCCATCGACCTTGAGAAAGGTATAGTTGGGCGGCGGACCAAAGAACCCGGCAAATTCTGGGGGAACATGCACCTCAGTGGTTCCCTGCGTGTAGTGGAAGCTGGCATTTCCATTGGACGCGAGGGCATCAGCGAACGGACCTGGACCCACCAATTAGTTCTCTTTCCAACGGTCTCTTTTCAACATTCATCAATTGCAGCTTACCGAGCTGTGTTTTAAGAGCCTGTACAGTCAACGTCAACTAAAGATTTCATTCCACGTGACAAAAGGCTTGACATACCTTGGCGCTGCAATAGCCTCCTGGGAGGCATAGAAATTTCATTGCGTTGATCAACTGGGGAATATCTTCGGAGAAAAACGTGAGGTAGAATACCACCCGGGGTGTTCTATAAAGATACTTTCTACGCGAGGAGACACCAAGGAATTATGCCATCAGGAATCTGCCAGGGTCTCGGGGATTTTGCCCCTGTGGTTGGAATGTACGAAGTACGCACCCTCGCCTTAGCAAGGGCATCGGAACAAAACACTATCCAAACCATCGCGAAGACATGCCTTGGAAGGGCAAGATCAGATCTCCTAATCCTGATCTGCAGTCCTCGAAACCAGAAATAAGAAATGATTGTAGGTGAGGCTTTGATGCATGGAGGATCCATGATTACATGGGAGTGACTGCGATTTTCCCCCATTCGTCATCAAGGAAGACAGGCATGGGCCTTTCCAACCTCTCTCAACCTATCATTGCTCGATTCGAGGTTAACTCCCCTGTTTGAATCGGGAAGCTAATTGATAGTGATCGGCACACGCACGCTTGGATGGTCATGCAAGGGCGGCTCGTATTGTACAACAAACCGACTCGACGCCCTTTATTGTTTGTTGTCTGCTTTTCAGGAAGTACTTGGATGAACCAATTGCCTGTTTTGAACACTACGTGATTGTACTATTCTACACATTCTTTTCTTGCAAATTGATATTTGTTTCTTTGGACACTTCATGGACATTGGTGGTGATCACACTACCAGGTACATAATTCAACATCTTGAACCAGACACCGAGTCTATCAAAGATGCGCCTTCAACAGCCCTGCGGGACTGGAACACCTGTTCTCCAGACCACAACTGCCTCTTTGCAGGAGATGCCTAGTGATACCCCCGATAATGCCACCGGCGATGTGCCCAAGAAAACTGCCATCATCGGCATGTCCTGCCGCTTGCCAGGAGATGTTTCGACGGCCGAAGAGTTCTGGGACCTCTGCTCACGAGGCCGAAGTGCCTGGTCGCCAATCCCGAAGACCCGTTTCAACCCTGATTCCTTCTATCACCCTGATCCCGATCGACCAGGCTCTTTCAACCCAGTAGGAGCTCACTTTCTGAAAGAAGACATTGGCCTATTCGATGCGCCATTTTTCAACATTACACTTCAAGAGGCACGATCAATGGATCCGCAACAGCGCATTTTCCTCGAATGTGTCTATGAAGCACTTGAAAACGCTGGTATCCCGAGCCATGAAATCACCGGACAAAAGGTGGGAGTCTTTGCAGGCGGCTCCTTTCCCGACTATGAAATCAACAACACCAGAGATATCTCCGCAATCCCCATGTATGCTGCCACTGGAACGGCTATGGCATTGCAGGCGAATCGTATTTCGTATTATTTCGACTTGAATGGGCCTAGTGTGACGGTCGACACAGCTTGCTCTTCCAGCTTGTCTGCTTTGCATCTAGCTTCTCAGAGTCTTCGAAACGGTGAATGTTCGATGGCCATTGTGGGAGGATGTCACCTGAATATAATTCCCGAGGCTTTCGTCTCGATGACGCGTTCTAGGTAAGTGCAATTGGCAGTTCTACTGTAAACATAAGCTGATTGATCCCCTCTAAAAGACTACTCTCCGACACTGGTCGTTCATATTCATTTGATCACCGTGGCACTGGCTTTGGCCGTGGTGAAGGTGCTGGATGTATTATATTGAAATCTCTCGAGGACGCTGAGGCCGCTGGAGACGCCATCCGATCTGTAATTATCAACAGTGGTCTCAACCAGGATGGACGGACCAGAGGTATTGCCATGCCCAATGGCAAAGCACAGGAGGCATTGATTCGTCAAGTCTATAAAGAGGCACGTATAGACCCTTCCTTGACAGGATTTGTGGAGGCCCACGGCACGGGAACCAAAGTTGGTGACCCCTTGGAAGCCACTGCACTGAATGCCGTCTTTGGAATAGGACGGACTCCGCGTCAGCCATTGCTTGTCGGGTCTGTTAAATCGAACATTGGTCATACAGAAGGAACGAGTGGTGTTGTTTCTGTGATCAAAGCAGCCCTGGCACTTGAGCGAGGCTTCGTACCTCCAAACTGCAATTTTGAGAAAGCAAATGATGAGATACCCATGGAAAAATGGAACATGAAGGTGAGATCAGGTACTGACTTGAAGTATCAACGAACCTAGCTAAATCTCAAACTAGGTTCCCAAGAAGCTGATGCCATGGCCCCGTGGGAAACCATACGCCAGCGTGAACAACTTCGGCTTTGGCGGGACCAATGCCCATGTTATTCTACAGCGTGGTCCCCGACACGAAGGCGAACTTGCAGTAAATAATGATCCTCTGAAGCGCAAGCTGTACGTTGTTTCTGCGTACGATAAACAAGCTGCTGTTCAGCTTGGAAAATCCATCGGAGCGTATCTCGACCTTTACCCAGTGATTTTCAACGACAGCACTTTAGATAACATGGCCTATACACTGGGGCAGCGACGAACATTCCTGCCATGGAGATTGGCATCGTCTGCAATCCTTGGACAAGAGCTGACTGCATCGTTGGCTACCGATGCAGTGCCTCTTCGTTCTTCCAAAGAGCCCACCGTCGGCTTCGTGTTTACTGGACAAGGTGCGCAATGGCACGGTATGGGCAAAGAACTTCTGAGCACCTACCCGGTTTTCCAGCAAACCATGAAAGATGTGGATGCTTGCTTGAAATCCCTCGGCGCTACGTTCTCAATTATAGGTATGTCTCAATTTTAACCCTGCCCACTGCGATATTGTCAGACTCTAACCTCCTTCACCCAGATGAATTGCTCTTGACTGACCCCAGCGCAAGCTCTATCTCTGCCGCATATATGAGCCAGCCCGCTTGTACCGCAGTTCAGCTAGCGCTAGTTGATTTGCTGTCCTCCTGGGGTATTCGCCCCAAGGCAGTGGTCGGTCATTCTAGCGGAGAGATTGCAGCTGCTTATGCCGCAGGCATTTTGAACCTCGAAGAATGTGTTTGTGTGGCGTACTCTCGTGGTGTCGCAGCCAACCTGGTTGCAAATGACAAGTCCATTAAGGGAGGTATGTTGGCGGTTGGAGCTAGTGCCTCAGACATTCAGCAAATCTTGGATGCCATGAGAGGGAACGAGGCAGTGATTGCCTGTGTGAACAGCGAGTCAAGTGTGACCCTGTCTGGAGATGCGGAGGTCATTGGCGCCCTGCAGACTGCCCTGGACAAAGAAGGGATCTTCACACGAAGACTGCAGGTTGAAGTTGCTTACCACTCTCACCATATGAAGTCTGTGTCACTGGAGTACCGATCGCTGCTCGGCAAGATTGCGCCTCGGGACTCCGAGGTTCCATTCCATTCAACCGTTTACGGAAAACTAGTGCCAGGGAGCACTTTGGATGCCTCCTACTGGGTGGATAACCTGGTCTCCCGTGTGGAGTTTGTGGAGGGTCTGAAAAGTCTTGTGACCGATGAGCAGGCAAATACGCCAATCAACACATTAGTAGAAATTGGCCCTCACCCTGCCCTACAAACACCCGTCAAAGACATTGCCCAGAAATACGCCCCGAACTCCAATGTGCAATACCTTCACACCTTGAGACGGAAGGTAGATGACATTGAGGCTGTCCAAAACCTCGCTGGCTCGCTGTTCACACAAGGTATGAATCTTGACTTCAAGGCTATCAACTTCCCAAACTTGGAAACTTCGACAAGGAAGCCAGCTGTTTTGACAAATCTGCCCAAATACCCGTGGAACCACTCGGAAAGATATTGGTTTAGCTCACGGTTGGGTGATAACCATTTCCATCGTCAATTCCCTCGGAGTGATATCCTTGGCTCATTGTGCATGGAGAACGTCGACTTTGAGCCTCGATGGAGAAACATTATTCGTGCAGAGGACCACCCTTGGATCCGTGAGCACAGAGTACATGATCGCACTGTGTATCCAATGACCGGATTTTTGGCTATGGCCATGGAGGCTATCTCGCAACACGCACAGCTGCACCATGTTACCCCCGGAAAGATTGATCTGCGCGATATCTTCATTAGCCGTGTTCTCACCATCCCAGATAACTCATCAGTGGAGACAATGCTTAGCTTGAAACCATCCCGAACGGAAGCTCCCAGCAAATCAGTACTCGGCTGGCACGAGTTCAAAGTTTTCTCTTGGGCCGAAGGTCGAGGCTGGGATCAACATTGCAATGGTTTCATCATGGTGCAAGAAGCCAAGGACGTCAATCCTGTCGATGGCCCCCGACAACAGCTGGAGAAGACCGCACGCTTCGCTAACCAGTCATTGAACATGCGCAATTCATGCAATGTGCCCGTGGACAGCAAGTTCCTCTACGAGAACATCACCAACGGTGGTGTCCATTACGGTCCCCTTTTCCAAGGACTGACCGATATCGCTGTGAGCAGGGATAACAAAGCAATGGCTACCCTCCGTATCCCAGACACCAAGGTAGCGATGCCCCACGGCCATGAGACCCCGTGTATTGTGCACCCTGTCACGCTTGATCTGTGTAGTCAAGTCATGTGGATCCTTTGTGGTTACGGCGAGCCTGGGCCGCAAATTACCCATGTGCCCTCGCATGTCAAGCAGGTGTCGGTTTCTTTGTGCCACGACCTCACTACTGGTACTGTACTGCAACTCTATGGTAGCAAGTCAGGGAATGAATCCGCAAGCGACCCTGAGACCAATCGCATATTCGCCACTCTTCCCAGCGACCCAGCGAATTTGCTCATTGACATCAATGGTATCACTTTGGTGCCAGTATCAAACGATATAAAAGGCTCGAAGGATAGTTCGCCTGATCAAATTTGCTACAAGATCCAATATGAGCCTTGCTTCGATTTCCTCTCCGCCGAAGATTATCGAAAGCTCCCTCGCCCCGAGACTGATACGGCTCGAGGCCTTGAACGAATGCACCAACTCGAATCCGTGGCAGAGCACTACCTTGCACAGATGGCCAAGTCTGTCACAGAAGACGAGGTCTCTACCTTCGAGCCCCACCACCAGAAATTCTATCGTTGGGCCCAGAACACTTGCCGAAACGCGGGTACCAAATATCCCTTGCCCCTTGACGTTCTCGAACAGAATAGAATTGTCAACGGAGCAGGTGAGTTGACATTCAGAGTGGGAGAGTTGCTTCCTCAAATTCTTAGGGGCAAGGTAGACGCCTTGACTGTCCTCCTGGAGGATAACGGAATCGACAAACACTACCGTGACCTTGACGCCCTTCGGGAGGCCTACGCAAATGCCTCCGTCTGCATCGATAAGATGGCACACCAGAACCCTGAACTCAACATCCTTGAGATTGGTGCTGGAACAGGTGGTGCCACCATGCCTATTTTGCAGAGCTTGGGCGGAGGCGAAGCAGGATCCACGCCTCGGTTTGGGCACTACACCTACACCGACATCTCTCCCGGCTTCTTCGAAAAAGCTAAAGCCAAGTTCGAGAACTGGGGACACCTAATGACATACCAGACGCTAGACGTGTCTACCGACCCCACTGGGCAAGGCTTTAGTAATGGCACATTTGACGTTGTAGTCGCTTGCAACGTGCTGCATGCTACTTCGGATATTAGCCAAACAATGTCAAATATTAGAGCTCTCCTGAAGCCTGGTGGCAAGATCCTACTCATTGAGGAGACTGTCCCCAAGGCACGCCATTTCCCATTCGTGCTCCTTCCTGGGTGGTGGCTGGCCAATGATAAATTCCGCAACAACGGACCACTCCTCACCGTCGAAGGATGGAATAACGTGATGATGGAGAATGGCTTCTCTGGAGTTGATCTGTGTGTTGAGGAGTACCCTGGAGCATCTTTCCAATCTGGTTGTCTCATGACTTCCACCGCTACTAGCCCAACTATCGGTCCTGCAAGCGCCGGTGATGTTGTGATTCTTGGCATTGACTCGCTCGGCAGCGTATCGTCCCTCAGCCTTGAATCTGGTCTCAGGAAGATGACTGGCGTTGACCCCATCACTGCTATGGACTCCGATGAGCTTGATGTGACCGGGAAATGGTGTATTTTCCTTGGGGGAATGGATCGCTCGATCCTGTCTCACCTCACTCAAGAAAAGTTCCAGACACTGCAGCGTCTTCTGAGCCGGGCTCGAGGTCTGCTGTGGGTTGTTCGTCATACCAAATCTGATCTTGAATCCCTCGGCGCGAACATGGCAATCGGACTGGCTCGCACTGTGAGATCCGAGACTGGCCTCCAGTTCGCCACGCTTGACCTGGGAGAACGGGAGAACATGCCTGATGCTGAGGCCGTACGACACATGCTCAATGTATTCAACGGAGTCTTCTGCCAGACATCGCAGCTGACTAAGAACGACTGGGAGTTTGTTGTCCGAAATGGCAATGTTTGTGTCCCGCGCTTGATCGATAACAACGTGTTGAACCTCAGTGTCCAGCAAGAGACACCAGATGCGCCTCCCCAAATGCAGCCTTTCAAACAAGATCGGGCTTTGCGACTTGCTGCCGGAGACGGCAGGGGTCTCGATGAGCTTTACTTCACAGATGATGTTTCCCGCAATGGGCCCCTACCAGAAGACCACATTGAGATCCAGGTCCACAGCACTGGTCTCAATTTCAGAGATGTCTTGATGGCAATGGGCCAACTTCAAGGTGACAGACTCGGGCAGGAATGTAGTGGAATCGTGACTCAAGTGGGAGCTGCGGTATCCGACTTCAAGATTGGAGATAGAGTCTGTGCGATGTCACCAGGTTCATTGTCAACCTTCACTCGCTGCCCGGCCTCTGGATCTTGGGCAATTCCCGAAGATATGCCTTTCGAGATCGCAGCTTCAATTCCAGCTGTGTTCTGTACTGCCTACTACTCTCTGATTGACCTGGGACGATTGGCTAAGGATGAGAGTGTCTTGATCCACGCCGCTGCGGGAGGAGTTGGCCAGGCTGCGATTATCATCGCCCAGAGCGTTGGGGCTAATATCTTCGCAACTGTGGGCAGTATTGAGAAGAAAAAATTCCTCATGGAAACTTACCAGCTCAAGGAAGAACATATCTTCTTCAGTCGTGATTTGTCATTTGCACAAGGTATTCAGCACGCCACTGGTGGTCAGGGTGTTGATGTTGCTCTCAACTCGCTTAGCGGCGATGCTCTGCAAGCTACATTCGAGTGTGTTGCGCCGTTTGGTCGCTTCATTGAACTCGGCAAGCGGGATATTACGACAAACTCTCGACTGGAGATGGCTCACTTCAACAAGAACATCTCCTTCGCATCTGTCGACTTGGGAATCGTTAGAGAGAAGCGTCCGCAATTGACGAAGCGGCTGCTGCGTGATGCGTTTAAGCTGTTTGTCGACACCAACGCCCAGTCCAGGTGGTCCGTCACCACTCTTCCCATCTCAGACGTTGAGGTTGGATTCCGGGCCCTGCAGGGTGGCCAAGTGATTGGCAAAATGGTTGTCCAGGTCACGGATGACTCCATGGTCAAGGTATGCTTGCTCATGTCTACGAAAATTGCGTTTGGAACGAATTTTTGCTAACTCAAAATACAGGTTCACCCCGCTAGAAGAGAAGAAAATCTTCTCCGTCCAGATGCTTCATATATCATCGTTGGTGGAACCGGCGGTATCGGTCTCGATATTGCCAGTTGGCTGCCAGAGAAAGGAGCCAAGAATCTTATTTTGGTTTCTCGAAGTGGTCCTAAAACTGAAAAGGCGGAGCAGACTATTCAGGATCTTGCTCGCCAGGGTGTCAATGTGGAAGTCTGTCGCTGCGATGTGGCGGACAAGCAGAGCGTGGAGAAAAATCTTGTTCCGCTCCTCGCTCTCATGCCTCCCGCTCGTGGTGTTGTATTCGGCGCTATGGTTCTCCGGGTAAGTCTCTTAATACAAAAAAAACATAGCATCCCTGCTAACTCTGTTAGGATACCCTCTTTGAAAAGCTCAGTTTCGCGGATTACCAGACCGTGATGATGCCCAGAGTCCACGGAATTTGGAACCTTCAACGAGCGTTGACAAGCACTAATGGCAGCCTGGATTTCTTCGTCAGCTTGTCGTCAGCCGCCAGTTTCGTTGGTAATATGGGCCAATCCCCCTACGCAGCCAGTGGAACCTTCATGTCGGCGCTCGCTCAGTACCCCGAGACAGCTAAGATGCGTTGTTCGACAATTGATCTACCCATCGTACGTGGAATTGGATATCTCTCTGATGACCAGAAGCGCGAGGTAATCTCTAAACAACTGGGCACGGAATCCGTCGACGCAACAGAAATCCGTGGCCTTGTGACTGCAGCAATTCGCAACGAGTTTGACCTTTCATGCGAGGGACACTGCGTAGTTGGTTTCGAAGGCGTCAAATCTACACCGGTCAACGAACAACCCTTCTGGGTAACCGATACCAAACTGTCGCACCTGTTGCGCCTTTCCACTCTCGCTGGCGCGGGTGAATTGGCAGAGTCCGCGCAGAACGGCACGGAGATTGCGCCGGCAGTTGCTATCCGCCAATCCAAGGCTCGTGAAGGAGCCGAGGCCATCGTTGGCGCTGCCGTGCTGAACAAGATCTCTAGCATTCTTATGCGTCCGATTGAAGACCTTGATCCCGCTGCGCCTATCACGGTTTATGGTCTGGATTCGCTTGTCGCAATTGAGATCAGAAACTGGATCACCCGCGAGTTGGAAGCTAATTTGCAGATCCTGGAGATTTTGACCAGTGAATCTATCCCGGCTCTTTCTGAGACGATTCTCAAAAAATCGGGGATACTTCCTCCAGACCTGAAGGCTGAGTGGGGGCTCGATGTGGTTGAAGGCCGAACCGGCCAAGAATGAATGAATGTTTTTCTTCCTCTACGCTCTTTGATTGAGAATATATCCTGCGAGGTATTTATATCGTGCTATTTTGGCAATGTCTTGTACTCTACACCCTATTCTTTTTGTTTATCTTATTCTGTTGGCATAAAGATTGAATTCAAACGTTTATATAAAATTGCCTCATCTCTTACGGACTAAACAGCTAGCTTCATGTAGGCCAGGGTTACACATTAAACTACCACATGGTTCCCAGTGAGAAATATCCTCCATTGAGTCTGTCGGCCTGTAAGCCCTAGTAACAAGTCTGTATTCTACTTGGATAACCCAGTTGCTTAAAAGAGGTGGAGTGTCACAATAATTAACCTATTAACCGGTCTGCGGAGAGGAGCAAGAGGCACACCCAGATAATAGTCCAGTGGTGGCGTCCTATAAAGCCAACTTCATCCGTGGAGGATTGGTCTTTATTTTGCACCACGTCCACTATGCCAATGATGTTATGATATGAGTTGGACTCACCCACGAACTAGCCAAGAACTGTTATGCAATTGTCTGTCAGGCATAGTTTTCCTTTGGAACTCTCGCTGCCTGTATTCTTGTCTGACCAAAGCTGAGCAAGTTGACGGTCCGCCACCGCCTGAGACTCACCCAGATCATATCCCGGCCCCGAGCTTGCTCTTTCATTTGCCCAATAACAAAGCAGCAGAGCTCAAGAAGCTTGCTTCCCCGACAGATGGCACATGGATCTCCACCTACAACAACGCCTTTTCTGCCTTTATATGGCGCACGTTTACGCGATAGAACAGCACTGAATACTTGAATTGATTCACAGCCACCGATGTCGGTGCTCTAGACGGATCATCGCGATGCCAATGTTTCTGTGTTACTCAAGGCGCTTGTATCATTTATCCGCCGCGCGATCTGTCTCCTGAATGCTGTTTATTTGTCCTTTGACAAATCTAGGGTTAGCAGTGTCCACCCTCGATCCTTAACAACCAATTCATACTTCAAACAAACATAAGGCAAAACGGAGAATTCGACTTGAATATCTCATCCAAACCGAGAATGGTCACATGTGTAGATCTAATGTTTTCTTAGGCAACGACGTCCTCTGTTCTTTCCTTGCTGAAAATAACATCCTCCGTAGGGATTTTGATCTCTTGCCACTCCGGTCCTTGTTGCATCATGGCAGCTTTGTTACTATTCAGGGGAGTTTCGAATTTTCTCTAGCAGAGCAACCCCCGCGCCGCAAGAATCATGGATCAGATGACCAGGAAAGAAGGATTCCCGCTCTTTATGTACAATGAGTTCGACGTGGCCGCTCTCTGTCAACTCGCGAGCAACATGCGACAGAATATCGCGTGCACATGCGACTTGAATCAACGTCCGAAACGAGGTGGCTTCAACTGGGCCGTTTTCGTTTTATTTGAGGATGGCCTTGAATGGGTTCTTCGCTCGCCCGTGCAGAATCATCCCGAGCTGTCTTACAATAGTGTCGCAAAACTTCTTTCAAGCGAAGCTGCTACACTCAACTATCTCAGAGCCCACACTGAGATACCTGTTCCTGAAGTTTACTCTTATTGGTAAGCGAGCTACACAATAAGTCCTACATCATGGAACTGATATTTGGAAGTGCCTCTCCAAACAACCCCCTCCGGATCCCGTACATTTTGATGAGCAAGGCACAGGGCAAGGCGTTGGAAACAATGTGGGGGGGAACTGATATCCACCACCGTCTTGATTCACTCGAAATCAACAAAGTGATGTCTCAACTGGGCCACATTACATGGAAACTCGCTCAAGTCCGGTTTGACAAAGTTGGGTCTCTATTTGAGGGAAATGGGTTCTTCTTTATTGGAGAATGCCTATCCAAAGGCCACATACAACATAAGAGAGATTGCTTGGCGGGCATTCCGCGTGGACCTTTTTTCAGCGAGACGGACTTCTTCCGTAGTCTCATAGCGGCTTTGATCCGGCATGCCGAAATGCTGCCGTTGATACACCATTGCTTCACTGCACCGGTTCCCTCTAAGAATGACTACCCCAACAAGGATCTGTGGGAGGGTGCCTGCGACCTTTGGAATCAATACGTCACAGTTGGACAAAAGATCGACAGCGCCGCGAATAGAGTTGACCACGTTATTGCGGCCCATCTGGTTAATCAGTTGATCTTTGAATACGCGGGCAAATGGTCCGAAGTCACAACGCCGGTCAGGTTTGCACTCTGCCACCCAGATCTCACTATGGGCAACATATTCGTCGATAATCAATACAATATTACGTGCATCATCGATTGGGCGTTCGCCACAACTGTGCCCCTTCCCTTGCTTTTGTCGCCACCCGGCTTTCCCCAGTCGCGGCACAAGTTAGATGAGAGATTCTACCTTGGTTTCAGAGATGGCTTCGAAGATGCAGCCGGGTCCAATGCAAACAGTCAATTGGAGGACTTGTCTGTCTCCAAAGCTATTGAGTGCACTCAAAACAGCCAATTTGCTTGGTGTCTCACAAGGTTTCTAGCATTTGATTCCACAGACGACATTTCACTTGTTCGTACCATGTGGGAATTAGTCTACCCATCGAGACACGCGCTTGAGTCATATTTCTTTTCGCAAAGACTTCTACCGTATTATCGAAAGCTGTACAAAAAGATCAGAAAGGAGGACTTGGCGGCCTTTCTGATCGAAAAATCAGAGCATGATCTTTTCACCAAATCCTTGACCTTTGAGCGGTCTTTGGCTCGTCATTTGACAATGATATCAGACTACGGATACAACTATGACCCATCCAAATTAGCCGGTCTCCGAGATACAGAGCGGATATTCGTAACTGAGCGACGACTTTGGCGGTGGATTTTGGAATTCAAAAGACAACACCGCGACATCATCGGCTTTGAAGACTGGGAGTTGTAAACATAAACAATTCGAGAGGGATAGAGCGCGAATCAGATTCATGCTGTTGATGCGGAGCACAGGAGTGCACTATTAGGAACGAAAAGAGCGAGAGATTATAATTATACCCGCTTAATTCATGCCATTATCCAGACCTCAAAAAGCTCACAACCCCAGTGACCGAACATTCTACGTCTGATGCAATTCTTTAGTTTATTGCGACCATTGACTCTTCTTGATCTCCTTAAAGAAGTCCGTCGGATTGATTTGTCGAGTACAACCGAGAGGTCCTCAAGGAACGAAGTATCATGATTACAAAGCTTGTCGATTTAATCTTGGAAGTCTTTCAAGGTTATCTCCAGCACTGGTAGTTGTTGGTATCATTGCTACTCCTTGCGGCAACCCTGGGACCAAAAATATCGCCGCGGAATCCGACGGCTAACTTCTTGTTGAGGTTAATATTGCCGCAATCCCGCTTCAAGCCCCCCATATAGGCTGTCTCCGCCGATTGGCTGGTGTATCCCTTTAACGTGTGGATGCCGCTAGCTGACCATGTCGATGCTGGCAAGAACAGCTGTTAGGCAACCTCGGCCAGTAGGAGGCTGTTTGTGACAGTTGTCGCCGAGAAGCCGATACCGGTGTCTCCCTCGAGTGTTCCACTTTGTTTATAGTGGGGATTATTGGATTTAACGTTGTCTTTCGGTAAAAACTCACTGAAAGGGGTCGAGAGACATCATGAACATGATGTAACGTGGTCATCTCCACATCCAATTTCGGGGATTGTAGCCGAATAACGGGTAACATTGGCGTTATATATATGTTTAATACTGAGACACCACGTACTTGTGTTGTACCTTTGTATCCCCGCTGCTCAGACTGGGAAAATATTGACACCTGAGGCACCAATAATTGTATGTACAACGTAGTTTCAACAATATATAGATGTGCCCTTTCACTTGTTAAGTTTATTATTCGATACTCATTTTTATGATACTTACTTGCAGTCTAATATTTTTCATCAAGATGAGCGCGCCTTCCTATATACCCAACCAGGTAATTCACACGAATGCGTGGCTTGTCTCAGCCGGACATCGGGAAAATTACCTGGGTTTTCTACTAATGGATTTGAATTCTATTTTCTATAGCTGGACGCAGAGCCTATGGGTTTCCCTGCTGGATTGTTTAATTTGAGTCTGTTGTTCTCTTGGTTTTACCACTCAATGTATAAAAGTACATCCACATAATCGAATGCTGCCATGCACCCCAGAATATTTATATGCGAACATCTGTGCGGTATAACGCCTCGGCCGAGGATATATCTCCGAAGATATCCCGTCCCGTCGAACATGTCCTTTGCCAAGCGTATCCCGAACATCTCACGCCGAAGGTGTCCGTTGATCGGATTGATAAATTTTAAAATTAATACTCCTATTATCGAAGAATCCCCCTATACTCCGTACTCCTACACAACATACTCTCCTGGACTTTTTATAGGCTTAAACCCCTGGGGTATTTGCGAGATTTGATAGGTCAAGTCTATTATCTTATCTTTATGTACCTATGCACCTTCAGGGCTGCATTTTAACGGAGACCTCCGACAGTCTCCTCGATTTTCGAGGGTTACATAATCTTAAAATCTAGCCCTAGAGTTGATTTAACTACTCCGTACAAAGTAAAGAGTCACGATGGGCGGGTGGACCCTGTGGAGATCTCCGATGAAACGTACAACATAGATACGATAAAAAGGTTAATATAGTGGGTTGACCCTTGGGAATTGTATTTGGATCTCAATGTTTATCCGGCATAGATATGCTCGTCTTTTGCATCTTTTCTGTCCCCCGTGTTGGGGCATTACATACTATCCACCGAGATGGCCCTTTCAGCTCGAGCCGCCGTGTTTGACCGCGGTCCAAGGCTCCTGAGAGACATTTGGGCGCTCACTGCCATCGCCATTGTCACGGTCGCCTTGAGGGTGGCTGCGAAAATAAGGATAAGGAAATTTGGTTGGGATGACATTCTCATGGTTTCGGCATTGGTAAGCCTGTCTACCTGTCTGTGATGGGTTATAGATCAAAACTAACCTGTTGCTTGGCACTTAGGCTCTCACCATCGTCGGATCAGCTCTCGTTACTGTGTGCGTTCACTATGGGTTCGGTCAACATGTTTGGGACCTCGATACGACAAAGGTCGTTCCCAAAGTGATCATGTTCGACTATTTGACACAGACATTCGGCATTGCTGGTGGTACTTTGGGTCGCATTTCCTTCATTTTCTTCGTCATTGAGCTACTGGGCACCAGAAGATCACACAGAGTGATACTGTGGGTTATACTTGGGCTACAAATCTTGACGAACGTGATGTTGATCGTCATTCTATTTGTCCAATGTCCAGGACATGGTTCCGCTATATGGACGAAGGATGGGGGGAAATGCTGGGATGTCCGCATTCAAGCATACTACGGGTACTATCAAGGCTGTACGAGCTTCCATTCATTGCCCTGATCTACTACACATGGCTGAGACTGATAATATACTTACACAGCGTTCAACTCGGCCACCGACCTTTATCTAGCTATTTTTTCAACATACGTATTCTGGAATTTGAATTTGAAGTTGAGGGTCAAGGTGGGCTTGGTCACTCTCCTCGGATTGGGCATTTTGTGAGTCACTGATTCAGACCCTAATTCAAGAGAATACCCAGCTGACAAAGTCATCTTGGATTTAGTGCAATGGCAGCATCCGTCGTGAAAACAGTACAAACCCGAGTCCTCGCACACGCACACAATGATCCAACTACTGCAACCGTCAACTACGATCGCTGGCTATACATCGAAGCCTACGTGGTCATCATAACGGCATCGATCCCTTGCATAAGATCCCTAATACGATCCGTTCGAGGAGGAACAACTGGAACCGGAAGAAGCACATATGAGTTAAGTTCGCCATATGCTGGAAGCTCTGTGCCCACGCCCAGATCTCGGAGGTTGACACCAAAGGCGATGATACGTATACCCGAGAATTCCAGCGTGGATGATATCTTGGCGGGACATAATAATGAGATTGATGAAGTACCTGACAGGACGGAGTCAAAAAAGTCGGTACATGTCTATGTATAAAACTTTAATGATAATACCGAATATCAGTAGTCGAAATATAATAAGACTGAAGTGGCATCTATGTTGTAGTCATATTAACATGACGATCGAATGCGGGCAGTAATCCCATTGGGGATACGAGATTAGGATCACCGCCCTCAAACCAACATCACCTCATCCCCAAAACAAAACCCGAAGCGTTGCTCGAAGAGTGAATCCAAGGCACAATGTGGCCTTTTTCAACATATCCCGAGAAGACAGCGGGTGACGTAGCTGGAAAGACGTTCGACTACATTATTGTCGGTGGTTTGTCTCACTTCCCCCTGACCAAAAGCGATCGAGTCGACTAACACCAAAATGGTTCCCTAGGCGGTACAGCCGGATGCCTAATTGCACACCGCCTTTCGGCTACCCCAAACGCCTCCGTTCTAGTTTTGGATAAGGGTCGCGTCAACGCCGGGGTTCTCTCGCAGATTCCACTACTCGGCATCTTGCAGAGCGGGGTTGTCCGCTACCACGCCGAACCCAACGCGCATTTGCGCGGGCGACATGTGCAACTTCTGGCTGGCGAAATGCTGGGTGGTACCAGTCGCGCTCACTCCATGGTATGGAGTCCGGGCGGCCAGCCCGAATTCGACGGCTGGGCGCGTGAGCTGGGGCTGGATGAATGGAGCTGGGAGAAGGTAGCCCCGGCCTTTGCGCGGGTTGAGAAGGCAATTCCACGCAAAGCGACGGGAGATCTAGGACTGATGCCGTATGTAGATGCGGCGATGGAAAGAGTAGGACTGGGTGATGGAGGTGGAAAACGAGGCACCCAGAGATATATCCGCAGCGAGGTCTCGGTTGATGTAGACGGGAACCGGGTGTCTGCGTTGACGGCGTGGCTGAATGCATCGGTTGTGAATGAGAGGAAAGGGCGACTGACGGTGTGTACAGGCGTGACGGCGACAAAGCTCGAGTTTGCAGATGACGGCACGAGAGTTACAGGCGTATGGATTAATTCTGGAGGAGGGGCAGATGTTCTGATCAAGGCTCAACATGAGGTGATTTTGTGTAGCGGCGTTTTCGGCACGCCGCAGCTGCTAATGCAAAGGTGGGTCGCACTTTTCAGATAGCCTCACTTCGTGATACCATACTAACAGCAGGCAGTGGTGTCGGCCCCAAGGACCATTTGTCCGCTCATAAAATTCCCGTGGTACATGATCTCCCCGCAGTGGGTGCGCACTTGACCACCCACATTCTTGTACCAGTCATGACAGAGCTACCACTCAAGCACACACTGCATATCATTCAAACGGTGGCTATCTTGTGGCACTTTTTGTTGTGGCTCTTCTCCGGGACTGGGGTGCTTGCTTCTAACGGTCAATGGGGCGCCGCGTTTTTGCACTCGGATACGCTCAACGAGTCAACAATGACAGTAGTCCCCCCCAAAGACAGTGAGAAGGAGGTGACTGATCTTGAAATTTTGATTGCCCCTATTAGCACGCTCATCGAGCACGGTGTCCCCGGAGTGCCCTGCATGACATGGTACGCGGCTCTTGTGCAGCCCCATACCACAGGTAGCGTTGAGCTGTCGTCTAGCTCTGACGCGAAATCCCCCCTGAAAATTACGCTCCCACTGTTGGTCGACGCTCGCGACAGCGCGCGGCTGCGTAAGGCTATGCGGTTCGCTATGCGGTTAGCAGATGAGTTCGCGGGACCGGAGGTCGGGTACCCACACCCAGCACCGTTAACGATGGCTCCAGGGATGGGTTTGGAGTATTTAGATAATCTTATGGATAAGAACAAGAGCAAGAGTGACAAGAGAAGGCTCATAAGGGCGTTGCCACCACAGAAGGACGCCTGGAGAACTGTGACTGATACGGAAATCGATGAGTATATAAAGAGGCTGGTGACAGGGAGCTATGATCCTGCTGGTACGTGTCGCATGAGTCTTACACAGGAGGATGGTGTAGTAGATCAGAGCTTGAGGGTATATGGAGTGCGCAACTTGAGAATTGCAGATGCAAGTGTGCTTCCCCGGTGTGGGGGCGCTTCGATATCGGCGTCTATTTATATGATTGGGGAGCGGTGCGCTGAGTTTGCTATGAACCAGAACGGCTTTGCTTCCTAGATATGCTGGAAGATGATATTTATGACGGATCTACCTCCTTTCTGCGAGAGTAGGAGTTCCGGGGCGGCAATGAAAAAAAAGTCGCGATTAAATACTTTTTCAGTCCTTTGACTCCAGTCCTAACACCTGGTTTCTATTTTATCTAGTGAAGAGGGTAAAGCTAGGGCAGATATAGTAACGATGCATAAATCTGACAGTCTGCATGGTCTCTATTGTCACGTTGAAGTTGCCTGAAGTTCTCGATACTCCTTCAAAGCATGTAGATTATAATACGGCACATGGAAGATGGAGAACGGAAGTACTTCCGAATGCCCAGCCGCCATATCAGCCGCTTCGCCATATGTTTCCACAGAATGGAACATTCCCGGGTCCACAATGAGAAGGTCCATCAGTGCTAGCGCTTGTGCTAGCCCAAACGTGTTCCCTATAGTGTGAAGACACTTGATTACCCACTGGCGCTGTGGATGAGTTGGCCCCTCAACCATGCCAGCGATGAATAATGGCCAAAGCAGCATGAGGCCGCCGAGATAGCTCTCTGGTGGAAGCATAGGCCTTTCTGGAAGCACCTCTAAGTTGCAGGCACCCAGATGAAAAGGGGAACTGCGGCAGATGTCGGCACCTAGGCGACGGGTGGTGGAGCGTAGAGACTTGCTGTATAAACGAAAATCTTCGGATAAAGAGGTAGGCGAGCTGTTGGATAGCTTGTGGACTTGTGATAATATAAGTTCACTGACAATAACGCGGGCGCAACGGTAGTGGTTCCAGCAATTAGACGCCCAGATGTCTGGGTAGACGTGATATTCGTTGTTGTAGGGTCTAATTCCGTGACAGCGGCGCTCGAAAGAACAGTCCAGTGGCATGAGTGTATGGCTACTATATGTGAAGTCCGGTGGTAGAGCGGCTAGCCAGGCGATGAGGTCTGCTTCGATAGCACAGGCCGCACTGAGGATCTCTTGGGGATCGGTCAATGCTTGCGTGTGAATGTTTGCACGAAGATTCGACAGATTGCCGATTATTATGATAATTTTAGTGCCAATAGCATTCTTTATCGCAGGGATCATGTCGAGTTTGGTACATTCCAATAGAGAGCTGGGGACAAGCACATCGCGCTGGAGACAACTTATGATCTATGAACGGATTAGCTTTCCATTCATAGTTCTAGGGATTGTCTCTCACGCACAATCTGATACCTCAAATGTATAAAAAGCCGGATTCCTACTTCGCTTTGCAGTTGTGTAGCCCCTCGGTGCTGTAGTAGAGCTGCCGCTCCACAAATATGATTTGTCCAACCCTCGATTCCCTGTGGAGCCCTCGATACAATAATCTGTTGATGTGGACATTTAGCTTCTTTTTTTGGAGTTGGAGGGAAGTACTCACTTCATACAAGGCTAGAAGAACAACCGCACCAAGTGTCTGGTTAGTCTTAGCCTCGTCGGCATCGGCAAGCGCCTGATTGACTAGTTTAAGCGCAGATCCATATTCCTGATGCGCAGCTTGACTCAGCGATGCGACTCGTCGAACACGCGATAACATGGCGCTGGCAACCGCCACGATGCTGGATTGTATAGCCAGCTGACCTAGTGACCCACTAGATTCCATGAGAAAATTGGTCAAAATGTCCGTTATCAGAAGGTTTCCAGGAATGGCGTGCGATTGGAGGAAGAAGCAAATAGCCTCCTGTTTCGAAACTCCCATGTTGGGATGTGTGACCATGGGACTCTGCCTGGCCTGGCGCATCCAAAATTCGTGTTCAGGATCGTACCCGAAATCAAACGCTGGGGATTCTAGGCCCGCAGGTGAGTGTGTGGTGACAGAAGAAGCAGAACTTGGTCCGAGGAAAGTAGACCGAACCGATCGGGTCGGCATTCGGCTGCTAAAAGAAGAAGATGGGGAAGAAGCCGCCGAAGAAGAGTGAGAAGAACGTGCCTTGCGCGCAACAGATTTGGTCTCATCGCGGAAGATCAGTGACATCTCATCGCGATACCCAAGGCATTCTCGCTTGGTTCGAGTGCATTCCCAGCAGGTTGGTCGGGCCTGGTCGCATCTGATCTTACGCGAGCGGCAATTTCCGCAACCTTTACTAGGTTTACCATTATTTACCATGGCGCAAATGCTCCCGATGGTATCAATAGTATCAATAAAACATTAATGATTATGAGGTTGTTCAAGGAAGTCGATCAGGGTGAAGATAGCTCAGAGGTTCAGCCCCCACGATATTGGGCCGAGATCGCTCAAGGATCTAACCCGCATGGGGTTAAAGATTTCACGACTGTGCATCTATGGAGGTCCACAAGCAGACGTAAGCAGACAACTAGGATTTAAAAAAGCTTGGACTCTTCCACCAAAGCTTACCTAATTTGTTGGTAGGTTTGGCGATCTTCGTGACCATCCTTCAGTTTTGACATCCTATATATAGTTGGCTATGCCCATGGGGCTCATTGGAGTGCTACGTCATGTCGGAGAACATTTAGCCGAACATCGGACGAATTATACGCCTGGATATATGGAATAGTCAAGTTAGTAATGTCATCAAATACTCAAGGCTGAACTGCTAAATTGGGGGTTGTGCCGAGCTAACCCACAATGGACAACGATGCGAGAACCAATCAAACTCGTATGGAACTTGCATATATCAGCCTCTACATTTGCTTTCGAGTGAGAAGTGAGACACTGGGGTAAATAAGATGATCCTAGTTTTCTGTGACTGCGGTCGCAATACATCAATACCTCGAGATGTTTACTGGTAATCAAGAAAATCCCTCGCCATAAGCCTGTCTGAAGATACTTAACTAATTGATTGGCCATTCTGGTAATTTCTGCTTTTCTTTACAATGTAATATACAGACCTTTGGCTCCCAATAGACCCTAAACCCCCTCACTTTTATCTTTATTTATTTAAAGCGACACCCCGAAGGTGAACTAGCCCCAGCCATAGTCACGGTTGAGGCTGAACCTGGGGACACGGCAGGTGCTGCAAAGTTTTGGGGGTCAACTCTATACCGGCATAACAGATTAAAGCTTCCTGGGGCTTATTATTGGCGCTCGCATCATGTACCATAAACGCATTAGTGCGGTGCCTGAAAGTATGTGTTTCATCGTGGTGAAATAAGGAAATACTATCCAAGATAATGTAGTTTGAACTAATATAAATAGCCTAGGATCTCGCAGTCGAATCTTGTTTCTCACCTCTACTAAATAATTTATCCATCATTTCAAAGTTTCTCGGCCATCCCAATCATCATGAAACTGGCTTTGGCAGCTCTTCTGCCGGCTTTTGTAGCCGCAGTATCATCCTCCCCTTCCGTAACAATCGATGCTGGTACAGTTCAGGGAGGAAGGTGTGAAAATGGAAGAAACGCCGTTTTCTACAAGGCAATTCCTTTTGCTGAGCCTCCTGTTAAAGAACTACGATTCGAGCCCCCAAAAGTCTACAAAAAACAATTCTCTCAGGGCAAACTGAACGCAACCACTTCGGCCCCAACCTGCATTCAATTCTCGGATGACTTCACGGAAAAAAAGTTAAACTCATCTGCGCTCTCATCTGAAGACTGGTAAGTTGACTCATGGGGGTTCGGACCTCTCGAATATCTCATTACTTATGCCAGTGGAAGATCATACTAATATATCAAATTTGCAGCCTTTATTTGGACATTTGGGTTCCGTCTAGTGCTACTAAAGACTCGAAGCTTCCAGTCAAAGTTTGGGTCTACGGTGGCTCGGAAACAGAAGGATCTATCTCGGACCCCCTATACGATGGCTGTAATACTGCAGAGGCGGGCTCGATTCTTGTCACAATCAACTACAGACTTGGTCCCCTTGGATTTATGGCCCTTGAAACCGCCGGAATCTACGGTAATCAAGGAATTCAAGACCTCATCCTAGGATTGGAGTGGGTTCGGGATAACATCGCGGCCTTCAGCGGAGATCCGGTATGGCAATCTGCATCAAACTAGTATCGAAACGGGAAGAAGTCAAAGCTAACAACTGTGCTCTAATCCAGAAAAAAGTGCTTCTCTTCGGCCAATCAGCCGGTGCTGAGAACGTATACATCATCGGCTCTCTTCCCCAAGCGCCTTCTCTTGTCAATGCTATCATCTCAGAATCGGGGGGTGGTAGGAGTCTGTCCTCAAATTCGACCCAGCAAAAAGTTGGCGCATCATTTGCTCAAATGCTCAATTGTAGCTCTAATGATGTAGGTGCACGGGATTTTAAATCTCGGTTTATATGGTGGATACTGACATTTTGATAGAAAGCTTGTCTTCAGTCTAAGACAGTTTCCGACTTGTATACCGCATACCCAGCCGATGCTTTCCTGACCCAGGGAATTGGATACTACGGTGGCGGATCCCTCAGTATCCTGAGTCAGGGCACTCACAATTTCTACCCATATGTAGACGGCAATGTCATCGCCGAAGACCCTTATGATCGTGGAGTACAAGTCCCAACCGTCTTTGGATCCAGTATGTACATTAAAATCTCTATTTTACGTGGAATCTCGCTAACCAAACAACCCGAAGCTTCCAATGAAGCTATCGTTTATACTTTACAGTGGGCCGCCCAATCCGAGCAAGCCCCAACGACATCATTATACAAGGATTTCCTTCGCAAAAACTTCGGCAATGCGGCCTCACTTGTTGGAAAGGCCTACTTGCCATCTCTGTTTAAATCAGAGGCCAAGGCTATCATTGCAGCTTCCGATCAGTTTGCTGAGATTGGCTACAACATGACCTCGCTCGAAATACTTTTAGCAATGACACAGGTCATAACCGATTCCACCTATAGGTGCCCTGCATGGTATGGTGCGGCGCAGGCCACTCGCAAAAACATCCCCGCATGGACATACGAATTTGCTCACAGTCCGACATGCGCTTGGCTGTACGGAATTCTTGGTAGTGATGTTAGCCTTTTCGGTGGCGCACACACTTCTGAAATTCCTTTTGTCTTCGGCAATTTGGACAATTCATATCTCCCCAATGGGACTTGTAATTCTACAGTCGCTGAATGGCATCTCGGCGACCAGATGATGAGCTTATGGACTGCAATGGCAGAGAATGCTGAGCCATCGACAAAGCAGATTGATTGGCCACGATTCCAGACACAAGGGAAGAATCTTTCGACTCCCGGCTTGATTTTTGAAAATGACACTGTGTCTGGTACAATCGATTACACCGGGTGTGATCTATGGATTCAAGTCAACGCGATGCTGGCGGCAAGCAATGCTACAACCTCGGGGACACCGACTGCGGTCACTGGCAATCCGACGTCTTCACCGTCGTCCACTCATATTAATGGCGCAATGACCCTTTTGTCTAAAACTGAGGGCTACCTTGCTTTGAGCGTGTTGCTCATGGTATTGTCTGCTTTTTGATGGCAATTTGACCTTGAAGATTGGGAACTTGGGTATTTTAGCAATCTGCTTCTGTTTGGACGATGGGTTATCGTGTGTTGTTCTAGCTGACTAATATAGTACCCCGATATATAATATGTATACATATCCTAGGACTTTGCCTGGACCAGATGTGAATATGGTGGATTTCCTTTTTCATGTTCATTTCTCCAATCATACTTGTCTAATTTGCTAAGCCGAAGGCTCTGACAGGGTCTTGACTCATACTTCTTACCGTGTATATAATTGTTAATCCACCCACACTGCCGATTATATCACCATAGCGTAGCTCCCTTCGCCAAGAAATCTTGGAGATCGGTTTATGGGGTCGATCGGGGGTTACCCGTTCGGGCCGCTTCCAAGGTTAAGACATAGTCCCCACACACACCCATCGGCACGCTCCGACACTTTTCGGGCTTTAATAAGAGACGCCGAGGTCTTAAAACAAGCAGGGGTTTCGCCAGACTCAGCACACAAGTTGAACGTCGGACAAGTATCCATTCGTATCTTATTATATTGCTCGAGAAACAGATTAACATCCCATATTAGACAACTTTCCAAATCCTGCTCTCTGCACAAGGCTGAAAGTGGATGTTTATACGACTGAGCCAACCTCACGGAGCAACTCCTTTTCCACCGTAACACGTCCAACCCACAGGATATACCAATAGACCCCATGAGCCAAGCTTTATCTAAGCATCGGCTTCGATTTTCTCGGTAACAGTACCGTCCTCCTGAACAACAATCTTGTCCACATTTAAGGAAGCCTTGACGGGGTTGGGCTGCTGGTAGACCCACTCCAACTGTTCCAGAGTTCGGCCCTGGGATTCGACACTGTAATGGCAGGAGTTAGCACGAAAGGGACGTATGAGAGGACCGGAAACAGAAGGGGAGTAAACGTACCAGAAGAAGTACCAGAAGACAGATTCAACAACATCCCAGCCGACGAAGATCCAGAAGTAGTTGGTAGAAATGTTGTGAAGTCCAATAGGCGTAGCAAACTGGCTGATGAAACTGATGCTGCTAACCATGAAACCTGACAGAGCCAAACCCTTGGAGCGAGTGGTTGTCTCCAGAGCCTCGGCCGGAATGACACCTTGAAGGGGAGTGTAGGTGAACGAGAAAACCACGTTGAAAAGGTAGTAGAAAGCAAGGGCAGCCTTGCCCTTGTTCTTGCCGATGAAACCAGTATTGGCGACTTCTTGCAGGATACCGGCATTAATACCCAGGGTGACAGCGCATGCTATGTGTTGGTTAGCCGGGCTGGTCATGATGAAACCTGGGGCAAAATACGCGACTCACCAAGAGTACCGAAAATAAGAACAGGGCGACGGCGCATCTTGTCGGTGAAGTACACGGCAGTCAATGCACCCACGGCTGAGACAATGGAGTTGACGAGGTTAAGCAACAACTGGGTTGAGCTGGCCTCGTATCCAATAGCCTTGAAGATAGTGGCGTTGAAGTAACCGAGACCATTGCCAGACCACTGTCCGAAGACGGAAATCATGATCACCTGTGCGAAACGCCAGCGTCCACTCTTTGTCATGACGAATGGTCGGTCTAGCGAGTTGGAAACCTTGGTTAGTTGCTATCGTGACAAATAGTTCTGATGATATCGTCATTGAAAAACTTACAATCCCACCATCTCTTGTCAATACCATCAATTCGAATACCTTCCTTCATTTCCTCAATCTCAAGACGGACCAATCGAGCATTGGGGTCGCCATTTCCGTGATACTTGACCAGGAATGCCTCTGCTTCTTCGTTCCGGCCGTTGGCGATGAGCCAACGAGGTGACTCGGGGATGAACCAAACAGATATAATGACAATAATGCAGGCGAAGCACTGGCAGATGAAAGGAATGCGCCACTGGTAGTTGTTGTTGATGTAGTTGGTACCATATGTGATAGCGGCGGCAGGGATGGAGCCACCGAACCAGCCACAGTTGTAGAAGCCTATTTTATGGTTAGATCTGGTATGATGCATAATTTTTGCTTTCCAAGAAGGTCAAGATACTCACCAACGGCACGACCACGCCAGTGAGGCGGAGAAATTTCAACAGCATACGCAGGAGCGGAGACGACCATGATCTGAATACCGAGACCAAGGATGAATCGACCAACAACGAATTGTGCTAGTGTCATACCACTGGTAATAATGATAGATCCAATAATGATCACCCATCCGCCAATAAACATGCACTTGCGACGACCAAGCCTGTCGGAAATGATAGCGCTGATGGGAGTGCAGACAATGGAGCCACTGAGAACAATTCAAGTCAGTTGCCATAATATGTGTAGAATAGAGAGGAAGCATACACTGTGTAGAGTGAAGTCACAACGGAGACCTTGGGGCCATCCATTCCGGTTTTGAAGACATTTTGGTAATGGTCCATGGCGAGGATAGATCCCATCAGAGATCCTATATTTGGTTGGTCAATGACATTTTCTGGGGTTGATTAATTACGAACCATCATAACCGTTGGCACAAGCACAGCAGAATGCGACAAAGATACAGACTGTAATGGTCGCACCAAAAGTTAGTGTCTGGGCAAATATTTGCTGCATTAGTCGAAAGATCGCAACTTACAGTACAAGTGGATCGATTCCTTGCTCCATCTTTCAATCTTGGTCTCCTCAATGGCAGCGAAAAGATCGGCCTGTATTCCGAGGTCTAGGTCAGTATTTCTCCCATACAGAATTAAAAATTTGGAAAATCACTGACGTTTTGGACCTCCTTGGTCTTTGCACCGTGACGCTTGGTAGTCTCCCCATAGCCTCCGACAACTCGAGCAGGGTCCTCAACGGAGGAGGAGATGCCGTACACCTCCTCATCTGCCTTCTTGTCGTCCGACATGATGTGATTCCGCGAGTATTAGAATCGAGGATCTTGATAGATGATCCAGTCAATGATAGACGAGACTGGCGCGATGAATCGTGAATTTCATGAACAGCGGGGCAGCATGTGGTTCTTATACTGCTAGGACCACCGAGTAATTAAGGAAATGACTATAATCCTCTTTGGGAACGATTGGGTGGAGTCTCCGGTTCCCCAGACTCTCCATTACCTTGTGACTCCGGGGCCCCCTGTTCTCGCCAGTAACAGACGCCTCTAGTTGGTGGCTTTTCCAAATACCTCCGCGTCCCGATTGGAATCGGACATTCCCCAATCATACCATTCTTCCCCCACCATAGTCGCCATATTTCAATTCTCATAGTAAAATAAATTAGGGTCTGACACCTGGATGATCGGCCCTGTGTCCCGCTTAGCGAGCATAGGGAAACTTGTTCGAAACGACAAAATAGTTGGGGCTAGCCCCTTTTCGAATGTACCTAGTTAGTCTTCATGCACAAGGAGCGAAGGAGTTTCGTGAGCCTCGAATTCAAGGCCAAATAAATACTAAAATGGCTCTAGACCAGTGTTAGGTACATATTCACATGCTCATCGCCATACTGCTTAATTTACTCGACACGCCTCTTATTGTGAGTGGTGATGCTTCAATGTATCATCTTGGTGTTCTTTTTACTATGCAGCTTGACAACTTCATACATTCTTGCCATCTACTAGGGTCGCGTGTTCTAAAAATTACCTTTCGAATGATGCCTTCAGTCTCTCCATATCCAATACCTTTGTCTCACGGGGACAAAGTTGGAAACGTCGCACGGAGCTACTGTCAGCGCGGAGGCTTCTCCGTGCTGGATCCTTCACGGACTCCGGGGTGCTTCCCCCACAATCCACTAAACTATTTGTGGTCAACTCGACTTCTTTGGTTGGCTGCTTCTCTAGCTTATGCCCTGATATTATGGTGGAAATGTGTCATTCCCTCGCACATTACGCTTCATCAAATTTCGGCCCGAATCTCCCATCAAATGCTCCTCGGAAATGCCACTGAATCTAAAGAACTGACCGTGCATTGCGTTAGGCCTCCATAAACACCAATGCAAAGATCAGACAGATCTAAACTCGCTTGACAGAGCGCCATTATGGCGGAGCTTGAACCGAAGACGAGAAACCTTGATATCACAGCTCCGGGCCGAACTGAGAATTTCTGGGTGCGACACTTCCGGAACGGAGATGGCCACGGAGATGGGTCATAAAATACGCTCAACAGGGGCCTAGGGTCATTTCAGCCACCTATACCTCCGTACGGAGAACTCCCAAGCGAGTCATTTCTCGGAGTCACCCGTGATTGCTTGGCAGCGGCGCTGACTGGAATTGTTAAAAAGGGGGCGTGTCCCGCCAGGAGGCTGGGGAACTTGTAGACCGTTTGCCAATCATTTTTCGGAACAAAACTCCCAAATCTTTTAAAGTACATCGAAAGACGTTGTGGGAAGCATTACGGAGTAGAAGAAAATCCCGTGGGTGGATATCCTGGGGTCCTGGGGTCGGGTGTCCACTCGGACGTAAGCTAACGAGCAACGACTCCCGACGTCGGGAATCAGCGGGCCTCGGCCCTTTTTTTTTTTTTTTTTTTAAAAAGTCGGTCGACATGCGTGTATGGTCTTGGCATACTTTTCATACAAGGTCTCTTGCCGTCTTGTGGGAACTGAGAGGCAAACTTTGAATAATAGGATAAGTTTATGTTCTAGGATTGTTACTAACTTTTCCCCCGGTAGGAGATTTACTTCCAATACATCTTGGTTACGCAAGAGAATCGCTCTTCGCGCGCCCACTAGACTGCTTTTGGAAGAGGTTGAGTCAATATGGCATGAAATGACTTTAGGTACGGTGTACTATATGCATGTATTGCGTTACATCGGCGCTTGGAAATCGTCGAGTCTAACCGCTTCCTCACTAATCACATCCTATTGAGGTATATTGGGTTGATATAAAATTCCGTGTGTTTAAGATGGATAATTATCAACTGTATAATTCGTACTTCGTCCGGAGTAAGCCATAGACCCAAGCCTTGCTAGGCATTCGCACGGCCCTACGGTAGCCTAGGATGACGATCCTGACGCCAGGGGCACATACACCCAATTGACACCTCGATACAACTTGCCAAATCTCTACCTGGGTATTTGCAGTTCTCATTGGAGCGAATTAGAACAATGAAGTATGTCATTTCAAAGCAAGGTGAGCTGATCATCAAAACAAGGCGGATGAGCTAAGGCTTTATAGCCTACCTAGTTTCAATGAATAGAAAGATATGTCATGGGTGACAGACCGCTTGAGACCCTCTAATTATGTGTTTTTACACCACTTACATGTTCTCCTAGTTAAAGGAAGTTCCTAACTCTCTGGTGCTCTAGGAAATCCAAGTTCCTCCTGCACCGATCAGAAGTCCATGAACACGGATCTTTCCTCCTTCTGTGGCCCTCTACTGATTAAAAACCCCCACCACTATGCAGAATTTAGCAGCGATTACCCGAAATATCTCTTTCGACGATCCTTATCTGGAAAATGCACTTGGCACCCGGCGATATCCTCCACCGAACCACATACCCCCTCCCTCTCGACTTTCACATAACTACGACCTGACCGTACCATTCTCTCTTCCAGAGCGCAAGGTACGCAGCAATTAGGGTAGGGGAACATGTTGAAAAGGACTATTCAATCACACCGGTGAAGGTGAAAGGTGTACATCTGGTTGCCGAAGGACATTTGAGCATGGGGAGATTGTAAAGAAGAAGCTCTAGCCTCTGGTATCGCCTCAAACTTAATATTAGCCATCACCACCTCTTTAGAGAACCCGATAAAGGGCAGATAAAAGGGATTACATGGCACACCCGAGTGGATAAGTCCCATGCGCGCATCTTATTAGATGGACGATTTGGTGGTTCCAGGTGGTCCTCAGCAACGGCGACTCGAAGTCCATGGGTGGAATGACCCAATTTCCTGTTCAAAGTATATGTTGAGATCACCTGATCATGTTTGCTAGGACTGGCAGCTACAAATAGCTTTCTCTCCCTCTTCTTCTTTTCCCCTTCAATACAGTCAGATTGCTTGCTCTCTCTTCTCCTGCTCCCCCATTAGTATACCACCTCTAAGCTGGTGGTCATTTGGGGAAACCAAAAACGAACTCTTAAGATCGTACTGCAGCATCAAGCCGCAAAGTAACAGCATCTAGACAAGCTTAGTGTGTTCCAGGGGGACATTTTGCCGTTTTCTCGGGCCATCTCAGACCCTGTAGTGAATGCTGTCACTGGATATCCACCGTATTAGCCGATGTATGATGGCAAACGACGACAACTGCTGTTATGTGGCAAACTTCGTTATCAAAACAAGACTGTTCATTGCTCCATTTCTCTGTTAGACCCACAGCTGGTCACTCATATATACTCCTATCTTCTCGTTGGAGCGATCTTTCCCATACCAAGATTGATAGGAAGCGACACGGGAGAAAGAAATGCAAGGTCTCCCATGAACAGATCAAACAGGGAATATGCCGCCCAAACCTTAGCAACAATGACCAGATAGATATAGATTTCTTTTAACAATTATACAAGGGCAATATCCATACTTTTCTGCTTTTCATGCTTAGTTTAGAAGACAAGATTATTCACTTCACTCTCACTTCCAGCTCCCACATTTCCTATACCCCAGTATCCGCAGAAGGCCACCCCAGAGGCAAAACGCTTGCACAAAAATCGTGAATATCACCGATAAGTAGCTGTGTCGGACTCGAACGACGCATCAAATACCAGCAGTTTGGTGCCAATTGTTGATACAGACTCTTCCAATCGCTCCCATCCAGAGATTGCGACATTTTGGGGGGGGGNTCACACCACTCACCAGAATCATGAGGTCCCTGGGGGGGGGGGCAAAAATAAACCAACTGGACCCTTCACTGGAACGAACGATGGGAAAAAGAGTGTGCCCTTGACTGTGCCCTTGTGTATCTGAGAACTGGAACCATACGAATGTCTTGGCATTGAGTCACTTGCTATAAATAAAAAATTCCATTCCGTGACCTTTGAGCTGACAATCTCTCCCCCTCCAGTTTCTCCGTACTGCACGATCCTTTACTGTCGCCGCGGAAAAGATTATACAAAATCAGGAGAAACTATTCACGCGCGAGGACGCCTAGGAAGTCATCGAGAACGAAGCCCCTCCCATCGATAACATTCTTGGTAATATCATCGGCGCAATTTTCTTTGATTGACCGTCTACTTTTGATAATGGAAATATTTAATGACTGTTATTCCTACTTTACCACATGCACTCGCTCTCTGTATTCATTTGTTCGTTTTTAATGAAATGATAATCTAAATTGGCATTGCAAGTTGTTCTTAGGCTTCTATGACCAGTAGGCTTATAGGAATATCAGTCTAAGTTTGAGGCATTTAGTAAAACAAACATATTTTGCAATTGAAGTTATGTATAAATTGTTTGCTTTTCCTCTCAGGTGTTTCTCTCTAGATTGACCACCGATAGGGCGACAGGTCTATATGTTCTTATGCCCAGGTGTGGGTGGTCTGGGGCATTTTCTTAAATTTGTCAGCATGGTTCCAATTACTTAGGTATTTTTGAGGGCTTGTAATTAATCAACTCCGTTAAATTTGTCAGCAGAGCTGCAATCCATTACCTAGGTATTTTTGGGGGCTTGTAATTAATCAACTCCGAATAACACAATCACAAAATACAATAATCTCTGGTCATATGAATGCAGGATGTAGGGCTCCAGTGGAAAGTCTGGAATAGTAAAAGAAAATTCCTTTTAAATACAATGAGCTACCATCGTTCACGGATATCTTTTAACTAGGGTTCTCCCAACTTCCAAACGTGTGCTTAGAAATATATATCAATTATACGCCCTTCAGGTGTTTCCGCAAAATACTGGTATTTGTTACACGCGACCTGCATGGCTTGAATTGCTGATTTCTCATCAATACGGAACAGTGAGGTCATCATTTTAGATTGGTCATCATGTCCAGAGTACCAGGTACTAGAGAGCGCTGCGCATTGAGGGGAAGTTTCGATCTGGCGGTTATAAATAGGGTGCTCTGCTGGCTCTTTATTCCCTTCAATCCAAGGCAACTTTGAACTCCATCTTTTGGGAAGATAATCTTACTTCAAATCAGTACGTTAATCATGCCTGCCCCAGCAGGAACAGCCATCGTGTTGATCGACCCTTACAACGACTTCCTTCATCCGGACGGTAAGGGTACTTCAGCTCTCACAGATCTTGATGAGAAAGATACCATCAGTCACCTGAAAAAGGTGGTCACGAATGCGCGTCTCCGCGGTGTTCCCATATACTATGGTTTGCATCAGCAGTGGACACCAGACCACTACAACGGATGGCAGCATATGACCCCAAGTCATATTCGTCAGCAAGAAGTACAGATGTTTGCGGAGGGAAGTTTTGGTTCTCAAATCTACGAAGGCCTAGAGCCAGACTCAAAGAATGGTGATGTGGTTGTGAGCCGTCACTGGTGCAGCGAGTAAGCAGCATACATATTGAGTTCATCAGACAGTGTGTATCGTGGTCTTGATGTCTGACCATCATGTAGTTCGTTTTCTGGTACCGACCTGGACTTTCAGTTGCGACAACGTGAGATCAAGAGATTGGTTTTTGCGGGATTGACTGCCAACACTTGTCTCGAGGCCACTGCGCGACATGCATACGAGTTGTAAGCACCTAAAGATGAGCAAGGAGATTTGGAGCATATTTAACTAATCGGCTATTATTATAGGGGTTACCAGGTGACAATGCTGTAAGGAATTCTCCTGTCTCATTGAATCAAACCTTCCAGATTACTGATGCATTGTCTCAACAGGAAAGATGCTACTGCTGGATGGTCGAAGGAGCTTACAGACGCGGCGACGGATTTGATTTGGCCCTTGTTTGCACAAGTTATGACGGTGGAGGATTGGGTGAATGAATCCTCTTGATACGAAGGATTTCTAGCACAGTCGGGAAATGGAGGAAACGCGGAATGAGACATAGTAGACTTTAAATTACAGAAAGAATTACAAAAAGAATTGAAAAGGCGGAAACATGGATTGCACGATTGGTAGAACCTAAGTGCTCGCTCTAGAGGCAACCTGTAGGGATATGTCGAAAGCTATGTTATAATACATGACTAGACTGCGACATTGCCCACAGACGGGCTGGCAGGCATTGCCTATGGGCCTTATATAAGCGAGCAATGACCACCGTAGGCATGCCTAAAGACGGGCACTACCCTATACGCCTATAGGCAATTTTAGTAAGTAGAATTCCTTAACCTTATAACTTATATTATTTATATATTTTAGCTCTATATTTTCAAGTAATTGGTTTATTTTACTATCACTTTTGTATACTTACTAACCGGCCCCTGTAATCCTTTTTCAAAAAATACGGACCCTCGCTTGCGAGGGTCCGCCACCGATACGGAGGGGATCACCCCTCACAATACATTACATTGTGCCTTGCCATCTACTATAGTAGACATCAACATATATCATCGACCACGCTCAATAATCTCTTTTAGTTAATGTATGTAAAATTACTGGATAAAAAGCTGGATTTAGTGTACCAACAGCTGCAGCCAGGAACTGTACCTGTGATTCCAGGAGCAACAACGCTCCCAGGACTGAGGAACACTATTCACAGATGCGCTCCCATCGCTAATTTATTAAAAAGCCGACTCCCATATTATGTTATCCGAAGGCCAAAGCTCTGACGGTGTCAATGCTGCGAGCATGGGGTAGAGCTCCGTGATTACAGAGTCAACGGCAACTCGGAAATAGCCTGGATATTCTCCATCTGCGAGTGGATTCTCATGGTCGAATGACAAGTCCAATGCATATACCCACGGCTTGTCTGTTGTTATAGAGTCCATAGCAGCTGAATCGACAACCAGGCACATACCAGTATTAAGTCCCTCGGGGACACTTTCATTCTCTTGGTACTCATGGTATTCCCTATAGGGACCATTAGTAAAAAATCAGAACCGCGAAGAATAGAGATAGGGTCTTACTGCAAAATCTGCCCATGAGTAGCACCAGCCATGTCCTCGTCTTCGTAGTTTAGTAAGAGGCATTTGTCTTCGATTTTCTTTCCCCCGCTAGCACTCGCCATCGAGACGTCAATAATGCGCTGGAACTCTTTCTGCCACTGCTCCCAGCGTTCTTCGTCTGAGTAATCGGTCCGAAACACGATAAATCCAAAGTCGTCAAATCCTCCTCTTTCGACTACCTCCACTACTGGATCGTCGTTCTTTTCAAAAAGCGGCACCCCGGGGGCAGGTGGCAGGCCGCGCTCTGCACGAACTTTTCGTCGGTGTTCGTTATGGGTTGCACGGCCAATGACTTGTCGGACTGGAACATTTTCGAAGGGAATCAAACTTTCATCAATTTCATGGAGTCTCTACATGATCCAGGTAATTAGGAATCTAGGTTTATTGCCTTATATAGAATGATCACTTACTTCCTCTGGTATTTGGCGTAGATCATCGACTGTTGCTGTTTGGAGTCGCTGCAGGGTCCATCCTGGCGGTAGATAAGACATTTGAAGTGCTTTTGTGCTGGAGAATGGAGACCTTAAGATTGCAAAGAAGATGTTCTGAAAGTAGAAATGTCGTCTTAAGGAGGGAGGGGTATGAGAAAGGGTTGTCAAAGCGAAAAAAAAAGTCACTGCGGAAGCGACATGTATTCAATGTTGATTGATAAGCGGTCACGGGTTAGAAACGTACATGCACGTGTAAGAGGTGAAGGAGATCGAAGAAAAAAAAGAGAGAGAAAAGAAAACGTTGGGGACCTGACGGGGATCATGGTGGGCTGTAGGCCCTACTTACTAGGTCTAGGTTAAGTCTAGGTTAGGTTCTAGGTCGAGATCTTCGACCCAAAATGGGTTATGCTCAGTCAAAATATATGGACCACTATTTTAGTGGATACCATAATACCATTGAGGTTAGTCAGAGTATCTAGTCAAATTTCTGTTTGGGTCATTTGTAGAGTTATACATTTTCATTGATCATACCATACCTTGTTGTAAACCTAGATTTCCGTCACTATATCACGACTAGAGCTCCGCAAAGCCCATAAAGCCCATAGCCCAGCCCACTTTGGGCCCTACCGATGGGCTTTGGGCCCCAAATAGTATAAATATGCCGAGAATTCAGAAGTTAAACCCCCGTTTAGGGATTTTAAAATTACCCTTCGTTTTACCCCGTTTCTAAGCCTTATTCTATAAGGTAATATTTTATTAGTTTAAATCATTTAAAATTAATTACTAGTTATCTCTCTATATCACGTTTAAAAACGCGAGAAAGCGCGTTATTTAAATAATTTATAAATTATAGAAGTTCACTTAGAAATTGTTAGTACTCCTGTCTAGATCCTAGATATATTTCCAGTGTCAAAATAATAATATTATACTTTTTCGTAGTATCACGACCTCATCTACGGAGTGCGGAGTACGTAGACAGATGTGAGTTTTGATTTGTCATCTTCGATCGAGCCCCGCCCCAGGTGACGTCCCGCTGACTACCTTTAAATATCAACCTGCAAGGCTAAATCCTTGAAATGCATATATCAGTGAATGGAATGCCGCCGAGAAATCCCAGAAAAGTGAAGGCGGGGCCTAAAAGCCCGACGCGTGGTGCACGAAGCAAAAGACAACGTCTCGTGTCCTCGCCCGAACCTGAATTGGGAGATCAGGGCAATAATCGAGATCTCCAGCAAAAGCAAGCCCAAAATATTGAGTCAGACACAAATGAAGCATATCGGTCCATGAATTGGGCCGCGATAGTTGCCAATGTCGCTGAACAGCCATATCCTTCCCAAATCCAACAATACAAAGAATGGAGAAGTACGTGTTCTCTTTCAAAGAAATCTCAATGAATGCCCTTGAAGACTAAACCACCTACAGGAGCTGGTTCAAAGCGCGAGGACTACTGCTGCATTTGTCGTGAGTCCGAACGTCTTGAAAATTGTCATACCTGCAGGCTCGCATTTCATCACGAATGCTTACCCTCCGGCTGCGTATATAATTCTTATGATCGCCTTTTTTGTTCGATATGCGTCCATCGAGGCTGGGACAAAGCACCTCCAGTACTTACCCCACCCGCTTCTCCTCAGCCTGCTCCCGCACAAATTCATCATCCTCCCGGCCATGCAACCAGTGGGACCAACTCAAATGCTGCGTCGATTCCTCATCTACTATGTCCTGCACCAAGTCTAGAACCCCAACGAGAGGGACTTGAGACCCAATCCGCCCCAGAAGAATCCGAACCTAGCGCCATTGATAAAAATACAGGTCACGAAGTAACAGACCTTGGCCCTGCTGTCCAAACCGCTACGGAGGGCTCTCAACCCACTCGACGCCAACGAAAATCGCGGTATAGCACGCTCCCAAGTAATGTGGACGCATCGCTTGCTGTTCTTTATCAGGAACTCGAATCAGTCGCGATGCTTCGAGCGGAAATCGAGAAGCTGCGCACCCAAAACACCCAGTACGCCCAAACCATCAAAATTCAGGAACAAAACCAAATAGCGCTGCGAAGAGATCTGGGAGCATTGCGAGAAAATGTCACCAACTCTGAAAGTACCACCAAGGAAATTCGTGAGCTTCGAGAAAGAAATGCAGCTTTAGAGGCTGAACTCCTGGTTTCAAAAGAGCAGACAGCTGCGGCAAAGGAACTAAAGGAAAGACTAGCGCAGTTGCTCAACACCTAAGCCTCGAAGTTGAACTTCTTTTTTGGCCATTTCAAAGACCAAAATGGCTTTCCTTCTCTATTCGTGTATGAGTGACAAGGCTTTCGTGTACAATGAGATGGGCCCATTCATCTACTGCTACCCCAACGCATGGACGACGAGAAATGAGCGATAATTAGCCATCTACGCCCCAATAACCATGACCCCGGGAAATCAATGGGCAGAGATTCGACCCATTGATTGCAGCCCTAAACCTTCCAATAATTTCAAATACTTATTCATGTATGCATGTGATCAATATGGTCAGACGCTTGTTCTAGATAGGTTACAATCTACGTCTGTTCTGGGTTGCATGTATCTCAACGACAACAGGGGCTCAACGCCATTAAGTTAGAAATTTTTTGTACCTTGATAGTCTCTTCCAGGTATTAAATCAATGCCAAAGGTGCCAGGTACGTGGCTATGAACAATCGAAAAGCTTCATTTGGTGCCTTGTTCTCGGAAAGTTGTCACATGCCCGGAGACATCTTTTGTAGGAGCCGCTCAGCTTAGTATCTTATCCTATGGCTAGGGGGGCAGCTTGTACGTACTCTACTGATAATTGTTCCATATGCTGCGCTGCACTCATGTGCTTACCGCTGGTTGAGATAGTTCGTTGCTTATTCCTTTGTCTGTTAACGAATGCTTTGTTTATTTTGCATTTGCTATCCCTATCTTTGTGCTCTACTCCCAGTTTCTATGGAGCTATATAGAAGGCTTTATGGCCGCAAGTTCTTTCTATCTTTAAAACTTTCTTTATCGCTCCTTGTTGTTTCCACACGTAGATTATATCTACATCTACGTATATCAATTACAATCCTATGCTAACTTTAGGAATTCATCTTAGCAAGCCTGTATAAACTAAAATATCTTTCGGATTAGTTTTATATACCTCGATTTTCTGTTTCATTAAGTGGCATGGTCTTATATTACTAAATAGGATATAGGCCCTTGGATAGGTAAGTTTAATATATTGATGAACAAGGTCCATGTTAAGAGCGAATTTATAATTCACATTTGATAGACCAACATCTAATGTTATAGAAGGCTTTTGTTAGTGAGCCTTGGTATAAACGACAGTCTCCATGTTGGAATGGATATTTGCACATTTCCTAACCTCTCCTATTTCTTCATCTTTCTTCATCTTTTTCAACTATTCTTTACTCACCAACAAAATGCCATGTCCTTTCTTCTGGTCAGAAAAGCGTTCACACTTTGGGTATGTGTCTAGCATCAATTAAATGTGAACCCAAAATGATACTAATCGGCAAAATATATCCTACAGGCCAACTTCCTTGGCCAATTGGAGGCTGGTATGTCACCTTTTAGACATCCTTATTTCGCATTGTCGATGAGTTACTCATGGTTTTTTTCTTCTCATTTTAGAGCTGGTACTCCATAATTCAAACCCTCTATTGCTATCGTGAGCCATAAAAGAACATCCCGTATACCGATTGACTCCCATTTGTTAATATTCCTTCCTATATGTGGTGGCAAATTCCCAGCTCTTAGTCTCTGTGAATCTATATTTATGACTTCACAGTAGCAAGTGCTCTGTATCATCAAAATTTTATTGATCACTCCTTCTTGCTCCTACATATAGATATTACCTACGTGTATCAATGACGCTACCATAATGACTCGGATGGCTCAGGCTGCCTAAGACTATAAATCCTCAAATATCACCTTTCGGACTCAGTTATCTCTAACATCATTTTCATATATGTCTCAATTTTCAAGTGACAAGATACTTTAAAATTCTGAGTAGCCAAATTTTAGGCTCTACTATAGGCATTAGGGATAGGATGAGTACGTATGCATTCCTGATGAGCTGTGATTACTCACTTCAGGTTTCAGGTTGAACTGAGTTTTTATAATGCCCTACCACTCACAGAAATATGCAAAAGGCAGAAAGCTCCCTCATATTGAGAAAGAAGTCTTGGTGGGCGCAAGGTTTGTGTTGGTATAAGCCCATGTTTGCTCGTTGAATGCACCTTCCCCATCCTCTCCCACTCTTCCGCCCTTCCCTTTTCCCATCTCCCTCCTCCCCATTCTATTTTATCTTCTTTTCTTTTCGTCATTTTCCTATTTTCCTATTCTTCTTCTTTACTTCTCAACATAACATAAGATGAGTTCTCCCGCGGCGAGACCTGCGTTCAATTTTTACGTGTGTATCTAAAATCGATGGAAGTTGAACCGCGAGTGATACTGAGCTGTTAATTTATAGGCCGACGTGCGCGGTCAATTAGAAGCCGGTGGGTTATTCTTTATCGCTCTATCTTTGGTATCGTCACATCTCACTAACAGTTTTGTCGTGGGATAGCCGGAACACTACTTCGACCCATTCATTGCTATTGTGAGCCAGCAAGCATCCCTGACACTAAATGACGACCCCCATTTTCTAATATCCATACCTATCTGCGATAGCCTGGTACGCGTGCCTACATCCAGGGCATACCTGGATTTATACCCGCTCTGGTCGCTACCGCAAGCTATGTAGAGACTGAAGATACCGAGATTGTCCTCGGCGAGCAGAGCCGGTTCGAGTCGATTGTCGAGATGATGTATGTCAAAGTGGATCTTGCTAAAGAGGTATCGAGACACAGGAAGTTGCTAACGGATTTTGCTATAGTACGCAGGATAGTGAGGTCAGCCACTACAAGCCATCCTTCGATCTGATCGCGTATTTACATATCTGCAGATCATAAACGTGAGCATCTCAGCAAGCCTCATGATTACAGCACAGGCTATCGATATAGCCCAGCATGGAGGTAGGGCCACTCTTGGATGTATGTTTCTCTTTATGCTGTGATATGTCATTTGTATCAAGGGTCACACTGCTAAACTGGGAAACCTATAGTCGCATGTTTCACGTTTTATGTAAGCTCGAACCTTCTACAACCAAAGTCAACCAAAGTCCCGAGGTCATGTGGAATATAATGGCTGACTTGTTTAATTATTATAGAGCGAGCACGAACGCTATCAATCTCTTGGACGGCGGACGCTCGTTGGCCGAGGCCAACTGCTTATGGGGGCTGATACTCGTCTGTACCTCGAGTATAGTGTAAGCGAGATTGTCTCTGCTTATTAGAGGCGTCTAGTCTCAATAAAATCTTTTAATATGCTTCTATCAATCAATCTTTTAATGTTCCCCTAATGTTAATGCACACTGCTCATTATTCAAATCGATTCCTCCGTTTCAGAACAGTGTTCTAGTTAGAAGTTAACCTTGGGAAAGGGTTAACCTGACTCATCCTGGTACGACTCATCCTTTAACTTCCCAATTATACAGAGCTTAGGATCACCACAGATATCGTTCAGACTTCATTACGGGTGGAAGGGGAGCCATCAGCAGTATGTATCTTTATACTATGCCACGTCAGTTATATTAATAAGTGCCTAACTGACTTTCGGTATCTATAGCGAACTAACAATTCTTTTGTTGGAATAATCCATTACTCACTAACCAAACACTATGTCCTTTTTCCTCTGGCCAGAAAGGCATTTACACTTTGGGTGCGTGTCTAATATCAATTAGATATGAATCCAGAATGACACTAACCAGCAACCTACAACCTACAGACGTCCTATTTCTCATTTTATTTTCATCTTTTTTATCTCTCTATACTTCTTTTCTACTTCTCAGTATACCTTCTACTGGTCTTATAATCCATCATTTTCATAGTACCTTTTTCTACTCTTTGTCCTGGTATCTCTTCGTTTTACTCACCGTGATTTAGAAGATAAGTTTTCTAGAGGCGAGGCATACTTTCAATTTTTTACGTATGTATCTAATATCAATCAAAGTTAAACCGCGAACGATACTAACATATCAATCTACAGGCCTATATATGTGGTCAATTAGAGACCGGTAGGTCATTCTTTATAGCTCTACCTTTGGTATTGCCATAGATTACTAACAGTTCTGTTGTGGTATATCAGAGACAAACTACTTTAAGCCGTTCATAGCGTATCCCTAAACTCTGATACCGACGTACCACATTCTTACATCATTCTTGCATATATTCAATAACCCCGTTCCTAGTCTCTGTGGAGAGATATAGTCAGAAGTATCCTTTACTATCTTCGAAATTTTGTTGCTCACTCCTTTTCGCTTCCACGCATGTATGCTACCTGTATTTACCACATGGATACCCGGGGCTGTCCAAGACTGTATATGCTCAAGTGTCTCTTATATTGTTATAATACATACCTCACTTTATATCCCACTTTATATCTCAGGTAAGCTGAAGACATGACCTCGGGAATAACCCTGAGACTGCATAATACTATATCATAGACTGATACCTGGTGAGAGCGTTGAGATAAAGGCCCCTAACATGTACACCTTCCCTAATCTCTTCCACTCGTCCTTTCTCCTATTTTTCTTTTTCATTTCTCGTCCTCCTATCTCTTTCTTCTATCATTTTATTCATCTTCCTCGCAATTTCCATTCCTATCTTTTCCAGTTCCACTCTTTTTCCTTTCACATCTTTTCCATTTCATATCTTCTTCGTTTCATATCTTCTTCAATTCGTTTCACATTTTCTTCAGCAAGCTATTACTCCTCATCTAAGGATAATTTCTTTCCCTCTGGTCAGAAAAGCATTCAGGCTTTGGGTACGTATCTTATCTCGATTTAATGCGAACCGCGAAGGTCGGATTATACCATGTCATTCATATCAAGGCTCATATCACTAGCCCTCGGTGTCTACAGCGGCCCACTTCACCTTCAGGGTAATTTCAAAACGTCTCTAAGCAAAGTCCCATCCACATCACCGCTAATACAATCACTTATTATAGACCGATTCGCCCCGATACAAGTCAATTGAATGCCGAATGTTCGTGGGAAAGGGAGAGCTGGTTATGGGTTCAGATGACCGCATCGGCGTTGAGTACGAAATTAGTGAATTGATCGGCAGGAAATGAATGACAAAGACAGAGAACGGGAGCGCTCTGGGAGGAAGGGCCCGAATGCGGTGCTAGGAATAACATGACCGGCTAGCAGAGCCTCCCAGACCAGCTCGGATCTTCTGAGGTTCTTCGAGTTGAAAATACACAACCCTTTTTTCCCCCTGATTCTTCTCAGAACAGTTGTAATTCAGTAACCCCGATGGTTGCCCACTCGGCCTATTGATCCATGAAACACACTATTCAATCTTATCGCTATATATATTTTGGGGTGATTTGCATCAATTCTTACACTAAGATCTATAGCCGCATGTTTGACATTTGATATAAGCTTAAGCCTTCTACAAGCAAAGTCCCAAGGTCCTGTGAACATAATGACTGACTTGATTGGTTATTATAGACCAAGTAGGAAGGCTATCAGTCTCTTAAACTACGGATTTTTGTTAGCCGAGGCTAACTTCTTATAAAGGCTGATACTCGTCTGTGCCTTAAAGTATAGCGTAAGCGAGATTATTCCCGCTTGTTAGAGGCGCCTAGCCTAAATCAAACATTCCAATATGCTTCCATCAATCAATCTTTCAATGTTCTTCTAATATCAATGCACACTGATCAGCATTGAAATCGATTCTTCCATTTCAGAACAGTTTTTTAGCCGGGAGTTGAGTATCCCTGACGATAAAACCGACTAAATCTAATACGACTCATCCTTTCACTTGATCCCATTTAAACAGAGCCCCAGGAAACTCACGTGTAGACCTTATAGTATCACCCATTAGACTTACTGGAGATATGTAGGATGGCCATGACCTCAGATAATACAAGCTCATGCCTTTTTCGGGGTCTTTGGGGCCCAATCCGGATGCAGTAAAGTATAGCTGAAGCTGTAGCCAAGGATCAAAGAGTAGGCGGCTAAAGATTGCCCACATACAGAAAGCATATTATCGGAACGCCCTGTCAACTTCAATTGGATTGACAAGGTTGAAATCCAGGTGATGGGAGATAAATTAGGAAGGGAGCATTCTGCTCAGGTGTCTCTTTCCGATTACTTTTTCATGGGCAGGCAGTACTGTCAGGTGCCATCGATTAAAAAGCCATAACCACCTTCTTGCAACAGATAACTTGGCACCTTGGATTTGACATGGCCACCCGATGTGAACTTTCGGTATAGAAATATATTAGGCTTGCGAGGTCGATCACCCGCCAGTAGTAATTTTGATCATGCGATCTCCTGCCCAAAATATCCAATTGTGGGGGATACAACAAAACCTAGTTATAGACTTGGTGGAATAAACGAAGCGGATGGTCATTTCTATAAAAATCAAAAATCAAATGCTGGCGGGTAAACCCAGCTGAGACTAAGGATGACCCACGGGAAACCACATGCAGGCTTCGAATTTACTTTCCTTGAAGACGTAGGACTTCAATAATCTGTTGTATCTGGTTCATGATGATATAATAGACTACTCTGTAGAAGAATAACAATAATTAGCCACACCGCCTGAAATGGGAATAATAATAGGAATAATAATCGTACGATTAGGCAGCAAAAAGTCCAAGTCATAGGTCCTTTCTCTGTTTAACCAAGGGATTTAGGGGCACATTTCCTCCAAAGTAAAGTTCAGTTCCACCCTGATCTTCCAAGGTCCCTATAGGGGGGCACGTGATGGAGTCATTGGCTGTCATGTCGCGTGAGCATGTCGATCTGGGGATATCGGCCTGACTCTATATTTTGACCATTTAGTTAGTAATTTAAAGACAACATAAGTTACAGAGTATACTTCGTAGATAAGATCATTTACAAAGTCCTCCCCTTTCCCACATGGGCAACCTTGTCTCCTTAAATTGACCACCGGCCTCTGATTGGTTGCGCGTTTGAGTTGTTCGGCTGCCGTACCCGCCTAGTGACGTGACCGTGCAGATAAGATCTTTGCCCAAAATATTCCATTTTGACCTTCACCCACTTTCCTCTCTTGGTGTACCACTTGGTTTAGAGGACTCATGCAGTCAATTTTCTTGCTGCTGGGCCTCTTTGCCAACGCCATCTCCGCTAGCCCCTTGGGACAACAGCCGTTGGGCCGTATTAGTCCAACGGAGCTGTCTGGGCAGCTGGCGGAGAGTTTGCGCAAACCTGTACGCGGACGATTCTTACATATAACTGGTGAGGGAACAGTTTTCTACGTTCTTGTTTCTGTTGTGTAACCCCATGCTGACCAACAGATTTTCATCCCGACCGCCTCTACAAGCCCGGAACCTCGATCGATCGCTCATGCCACCGTGGTAACGGCCCCGCGGGGTATTTTGGAGCCGAGGGCACAGAATGCGATTCACCCTTATCACTTGTGAACGAGACATTTCGCTGGATCGAAGAAAATTTGAAGGATGAGATTGATTTTGTGATTTGGACCGGTGATTCCGTCCGACACGACAATGATGAAAAGCTCCCTCGCACGGCAGAGGAGATTATGGAGTTGAATGAATTCCTGTCCCAAAAATGGAGTAGTATTTTCGGCGTGGGGGAGGTTCGTGAGACCTCGAATGCCGTGCCTAGGATGTCGATCCCCGTGATCCCAACATTCGGAAACAACGATATCATGCCACACAACATCTTCAACGAAGGACCGAACAAATGGACAAAGCGCTTTGCGGAAATCTGGAACCAGTTTATCCCAGAAGATCAGCGTCACACCTTTGTTGAGGGCGGTTGGTTCACCACGGAGGTAGTTCCCGGTCGGCTAGCGGTCATCAGCTTAAACACCATGTACTTCTTCGATTCCAACAGTGCGGTGGATGGATGTAACGCCAAGTCGGAACCTGGATACGAGCACATGGAGTGGTTGCGGGTGCAGTTGAAAATCCTGCGCAGTCGCAACATGAAAGCGATTCTCATGGGCCATGTCCCCCCAGCCCGGTCGAGCGAGAAAAAGAATTGGGATGAGACATGTTGGCAAAAATATACACTCTGGATGCACCAGTACCGTGACGTTGTTGTCGGTAGCTTTTACGGCCATATGAACATCGATCACTTCATGCTCCAGGATAGTAACAAGGTCAATATTGATTCAAAGGTTGATGGGAAGGTGTCAGCCAGCTCAAAAACCGACTACCTCCAGTCTCTCCGGAACCAATGGTCCTCATTGCCATATCCTCCGTCCGGAGTTTTCAAGGAGCTTGACTCCACGTCAAATTTGGGAGATTCCTCGCAAGTTGAACCGGCTAAGAAAGACAAGAGGGGCAAAAAGAAGGACAAGAAGAAGCAAAAGTTCTTGGACAAGATTGGAGGCCCATGGGCAGAACGATACAGCGTCTCGCTAGTCGCTCCTAGTTTGGTCCCGAACTTTTTCCCCAGCCTGCGCGTGATCGACTACAATGTCACGGGACTGGACGATGTCGCACACGGTGTGGATTCATTCACACATGAGATTGATGCCACAAAATTTGGAGTCGATCATGCTGTGATGGATACCCCGGAACCCAGCGACGATTCTCTGCGTTCCCCCGAAATTCAAAAGAAGAAAAAGAAGGGCAAGGACAAGAAAAAGAAACCCAAGTTCAAAGTCCCTGAGCCCCCCTCGTCAACCGCTCCTCCTGGCCCTGCATACTCGAACCAGCCGTTTACCTTGCTTGGCTACACCCAATACTACTCAAATTTAACGAAACTCCACGAAAAGATCGCAGCGGGCGAACAAGGCGATGATCCTCGTCTCGACTTCGAGATCGAGTACACCACAAGTGATGACGTGTATCAAATGAAAGACCTGACAGTACGCAGCTTCTTCCAACTTGCAGCCAGAATTGGCGAGGAAGGAGCCGAAGAAAAGCACACTGGCGACATCAGTAGCCAAGGTGTTGATGCCGCTGATAAGAAGAAGAAGCCAGTGAACGATGTCTGGCGGACATTTTTAAGGCGCGCATTTGTTGGATTCCCAGTTGATGACCTGGATGAATAGGGCGATTTCGCTTTAGCAGTTTTCTTTTCTTTTTGGACACTTTTGCATGCACGATACATAGCTTGCATCTCAGGCTTATACAGTGGAGACTTGTGCTTGTGCTATCACAAGGTGTTATAGATTATGGCCATACACCAGTTGACAAGATTGGAGTAAAAATTACAGACAATCAAAAAAGTAAATTACCAAGTTTTACATTTGTCTACAACGCATTGTACAATTACACAATGGACTTGTCTAATTGGGTGATCAGCAAGGGTATCTGGCGGTGTAACATGTTGAATACTGTAACTTTGGGAACACAACGTCAGCAGAATTGCAGTACATGAATGATGTATTATTCGTCTATATCCATGGATCTCCATCTAAGGTATGGAGTACATCAATAGCTGTTGTACAATGAACAAAAATACAAATTTATCACTTTCATCACATCAGATAGGTGGATTTCTATCGCGACCACAATACCCACACCCATCACAGCCACTGCCAACGTGGCAGTCCGTGCTAGCAAGGTTTAGATTAATGGCCAGGTACAGAGTAATCTGGCCCGAGGGCTTGGGCACCCATTTAGCTGGGGATGATCCTGTAATAAGTAAATTCCCAGCCAATCTGCGATGTTGCCTTAGTTCTTTTTTGCCTTGAGCCGCTGCCACGTAGCAAGCCCGTCATAACCAAGTTGACAGAATCAAGTTGACACCGCACGCGAAACTCAGACTAGCAAGACAGCACAACATTCAATAAATTGTACTAGAGTGACATGGGTTGCCACTGCGTATTGCAATTGCTCAAGTTATACGGAGTACAAATAGATCTATCTCCACTTCTACTCCCTAGCATATTAGCATATCTATCAATTTTGTTCTCCATACTCCGTACTTCGTACAATTCTGTTGATTATTGTGGGACTGCAAGACAGACTAGTAAAGAATTACTATACAGTACCCAGGTACTCCATCCATACGCATATCCTCCAACCCGATCTCTTCGTCATATCAGGGGAAACCCTCTACGCAGCTAGCATGACCTTGCATTCCTACCTCGAAAATCTTTCAATTTTCTAATTCTCTTTTAATCCCTGAGCTTCGACTCCGTATCACGACCCCAACACTTACAATAACAATTCTAACCCAGGGCTCCTAGCTCGAGCCCCCCCGAGCTAGTAGCTTCATACCCGAGACACAGTCCCCCCAATTCCTAATTCCTTCCCCGCACAGACTTCGCTGGCACCCAAAATCGTCGCATTTCGCCCAATCTATCCCCTACTTTGCCGGCCACACGATGCGTCAAGTTTACTTGCAATCCAGCCACGAGCTCCGTCACCTCACTGCCTGCTCCTTGCATTGTTAGCCAAATTCCCAGCCACGATACAGCGTGAATACGACATTCGGAACTCAGCCGTCGCTAGACCGAAACAGGCAATATTGATTCGATTGATCGGACAGCGTTGTTCCACACTGTGTCTGCTATAATTCGAACGCTATATACTTGGTTGTCGCAATTGCATTTGGCACCCGCGCCAGGAACGAAAGCCATTGGCTGTGATATACTCCGCGGCCTGAACAATCGCCGCCTCCTCGGGTCCCGCTGAACCTTGCAGCTTGCGCCGAACTTGCTGCTCTTGGTTTCGGATATTCCGTGTATTTGACCTTTTTCATTCGGCGCGTCGCTGGAACACTCTGAGCTTTTGTGCGCCAAGACCTTGATTTTGCAGGTCAATTGGTCCGCGGCTTGAGGAATCGCGCGTGGTTGGAGCATGATTCAGTAGCTGCGTTTGGTTGTTATTTGAAATTCTGTTTGCGCGTTTTTCGGTAAGTCCAAAGTGTCCTCGCCTATTCCCTTCTTTGTTGAGGCATCCCTAGCTTCGCAATTGAGCTTTCTTTCTGTCAATTGGCCTTCTCCGAACCTCCACTCCGCCTGTTGCCTGAGACTAATGACCAATATGGCTGACACTATCTGCCCAGACTCCCCAATTCCTGAGTCGTGGGATTTATGGATGGCCTCCTCCGAAGTGGACCAGAAAGCCCTGGGCAATTTCGCGGCTGTCATGGGTCTCGAAAACCCCCTGCTCTCAGCAACGCTATACAAAGTCCTCGGCGTCTCTGTCATGCTATCAAAAAAGCTTCTTAGAGCCCGCAAGCTGCGGCGCCTGGACACAACACGTGAAACAAGATCCCTCCAGCTGTACCATCACATCATATGGCTCTCCCGCGAAGGCCTACTAATACTGGAGGGCTACATCCTTCCCATGGTAGACAGGTTTGTCGAGTTAAAAGTGCTCGCCTACAAACTCCGCGCCTCCTTCTACCATATTTTCGTCCTATTCCACAATCGCCCGATTTTCACACCCGACTCCGACATGCCAACCCGCCTCAAACATGACTCTATATACGGCGCAGACGCCCTAACCGCCCTCGGCGTCTCAGACACATACAATTCTAAAATGAATAATGCTTCGACACCAACATCCCGCCCCCCAGGCCTACCGGTAATACAACCAGTTCAGCCACCTCAACCACTCTCCTCCTTCCTCTTGCCCCCACTAGACTACACCGCCACAGCAACAGCCTGCTTCAATCACGCATCAAGTCTCTCCGACAAACTCCTACCGGGCTCACACCCTCTCCGCCTCTCCGTCAAGCTCGAATACGCAGCTTATCTATACGACTGTCTTCAAGACCCTATCGCGTGTCGCCGCCTCGCAAAACAGGCCATCGCAGACGTCTACAATGCCCAAGAAGGCATGGACGACGAGAGCTTCAAGGATGCCGCAGAGATCGTCAGCGTGTTGGGCAAGATGGTCAAACGTGGAGGTAAACCCGGCTCCAGTACTGGCACTCCGGGGAGCAGTGTCTCCCGCGGTGGGGGCTCACACAGTCGCAGTAGTCGCTCGGCTAGCCATCTTGATATTAGTGTGCCGACTACTGTCTCGCCAGTGCCGGTTACGAAGTCTACGCCCGTTGAAGGAGCTCGTGTGGGAGTGAGCCGACCTGCTGTCCCTGATGCTTCTATGATGAATCCGATTTAATGCGAATGGAAACGTGCATGATGAAAGAAACGCCGATGTTCCAATTCTTGTCATTGTCTTTTGCATGTTACGCTTCTATGTGTGATGATATATTGCTTTTCTTTGGGTTTCTGTTTTCATTAAGCATGTGTGTACATAGACATTGTGCATTTCCTTTGATGTTTGTAGATATATGCTACGCTTTGATGACCTTCATTCAACATTTACGAAGGAATGACATGTTTTGTGCTCTATGCAGTTGATGATGCTGCATTGTACAGGTTGTTGCAGAGTTAGGCGGTCATACATATCACCACACTACATACATGCAAAATGCTTGCCTGAGGAAAGCAAACATTAGATATGGTCGTTTGCTAATTTTCCTACCCTAAGATCTCGTGTTATAAAAGGCGGTGGGAAGGTAGAATAGGCATCACATCGCTTGATTCCTTTTTTGTCATGTCAGCTTAACATCCATCCCTGAATCCAACCTCGCTACTAATGGTGATCCTCTATATCAAATATCTGATCTATTTATAAACTGAGGGACTCCGAGATTCCCTAGCTTCTATCCACTGGGTGCCAAGACCCTGGTGCAGCTGATGTCCAAAAGGCTGTCGGGGTCAATGTCTTCAACGTCACAGGATGAGTCTGCACATCCCACTTGTATTATACGTCTCCCAGAATCACGGTTCATATTCGGCCGAAACTCACCCTAACCGAGCAGGATGAGCTATTCGGCCAGATCTTGGTGAAGATCAAACCCGATGGGCGGTTCCAAACCCAACATTCACGATTATCTCTACTTGCCTTGCTGATCCCTCTCGTCACTCCGCGTGGCGAGATCAAATACAACGATTTCATCCACGGTCCAGTACCAAATACGAGATCAACCAGCTCACATGCCCTTGCACTTGACAATTTCAAATGGAGAAATTACTACACAACTGAACGACACCTTATACAAGTTGCAGCCACGCTTGCTCCTCGTGTTGACAGTACCGCGAACCTGGAATGCGTCAAAATTCACGCACCATTACCTTTCACTACCTTCGTCTCGCCGCCAATTTTGATTTTTCTGTCCTTTCCTTCGCGCTGAGACTCCAAAACTGCCTCAAGCTTCAGTGTCGCTCCGGCTACTAGACTAAGGGCTTCAAATTGGTGTTTTCTTTTCATGGTGTCTTGGAAAGAACGGAAAAGAGAAACAGTGAAATTCTACACTTTAAGCAGTTCATTATCGCTATGAGCACAGTCCTCAATGCAAGGAATTTATCGACACTTTTCATGCTGGTCGTAATCCACCATGCTGCATGGACGAGGTTTGGGACAAGTTGATGCAGTCTCAGGCTAAATACAAGCCTGAAAATGTCTATACAAGCATGGAGACAGATGAAGGAACGGATGTGTTGGGGTGACTGCACTCTCGCGGCCCAGTCGACAACGATGTATTCCAGACTATCAATGAATTATTCTAATTTGTCCATTATTTCAGCATCTATAACCCACAAGTAACCCATTGTCATGGCTTTCTTCTCATTCATTCATCATCTAGTGTCTATTTTCTGGTGCTCAGCATTGCCCAATATTTAGACAGCTCATCAAAGAAAGGATACTCAGCGATCTACGAGTGGCAGCAGCCCCAAAAGGAATAGAGGCGGGGGACGTAAAGTACTGCATAAATAGATCAAGCATAAGATCCCCAGCACTACTCTGTGTGTAGTGGGTTTAGTGCAGGGATGATGAACACCAAATGGTATCAGTAGGATGCTACACGTGGTGGACCTAATGCCGATCAGTTACGATTTTCGGATGTCGATCAATTGCCCGATAGATTTGACTCACATCATACATGAGAAGCATATAGAAATCCGGTCAAGATCCTGTAAAACAAGGTCAAAGAATAGTTCATCAAAGCCAGGCAAATAAGTGTCCACTCATTGATTCCAAAATCTAACATGGTATCGAACGAAAAGGAGGCATCCAGTGAGGATGTGAATTTTGTCATGGAAAGCCTCCATGACACCAAGAACCACCCTTCAGAAAATTACAGGCATTGAACTGAGCCGAGAACACTTCAGGCAGATATCGACTGCCATGAGGATCAGGAGAAAGCACTCAGGAACGTGAATAGTGGAAACTGCTATAACCGCTCAATATATCGAGGTAGAGCGACTGAAAGCTGAGGCCGCAGCACGGGACACGACCATAGAGCAACTCAAGGGTATCTTTTTTAATATGAATACAAATAATTCCCAGATATGTATGTACATAAAGATCAGTGTAATAGTGTGTTTTGGGGATCAATAGGCCGACTCCGTAACACCCGGGGTTACTGAATTGCAACTGAAACACTGTTCCGAAGAAGAATAAAGACAAAGGCCGAGTGTGATATAAATATGGCGAGGCTCAGAGGATTTAAGCTGGTCTGGGAGGCTATGTTCGCTGGTCATGATATCCGTAGTACCACATTCAAGCCTTCTCATCCACCCCCCTAGACAGCTCCCGTTATCTCGCTTTAGAAATCACTCTCTTCAGACCACCTAGGCAGTTCACTGATCTCGTACTGGTTATCTGCCCATAACCAGCCCTGGAGCGCCCCTTCCCCAACATAAGACGGCTCCCCCTGTGTCAGAGCTGCGTAACGCCAGTCGTTGGTCTAGAATAATCCATTAAGTCGGCCGTTCTGTAGATAGGTGGGAAGATTTCTTATCAATGTTTTCAGCTTACTGTAAAGGTAAAACGGGCCGCTATAGATACCGAAAGCTAGTCATATAACTCTTAAATAAAAGATATAGCATAAGAATACATACAGCCAACGGTCCCCTTACGCCTTGTAAGGCGGCTTGGATACTCTCTGTAGTAATTCTGAGATCGCCACGAATTCTTATATCAAGTACCTATATGTATGTAAGCGATTGGGTCAAAGGACATGCTATTCGTGTTGTGTCTCACTCCATTGTCCCAAGTCGTAGATATCAAAGCAATCAGTAAAGCTCTTAGGCTTTGGGTGCCCCCAAATAAAGTTTTCTGTAACATACGTCAGCTGGATGGTGGCGTCGAGATGTGATCTCTCGCCTAAGACAATCTCAACGTATCGCGAATCCACATCGATCGCAGTGGCAACCACAGTTGGGACAAATCCGGGCATACTTTCGATATGTGCCCTATTACCAGGCTGTTGCAGATAGCTAGGGGTATTAGAATGACAAAGTAGCTTGGTATAAGGGATTTAAGACGACCTACCACTGCGATAAAACCGTCAAAGTATGTAGTACCCGCTATAAAACGGCTAAACCGTTAGCGATCCAGTGACAATATTAAATGAGCAACCAGAAAGAGTGACATACCGGCTTCTAACTGGCCAAAAATATTGGTCTATAGATTGTTCTGGTCAGTACTTTTCACGGTTCACATCATATCAATATGAGAGACGCACCGAAAACTTGAAGGCGGGTCTTATTTGTAGGAAAGACATATTTGGTTCGGGTGAACCTTGATTGTTGATGGTATGAAGAAATGGACAACAGGATAAAGAAGCGATGGATACTAGAAGAAAAGATAGCAAAGAGGGTTACAGAGAGAAACGAAAGTGACAAGAAAGGAGAGAAAGGATACGCGCAAGAGGGTAGGGAAGGTGCACATATTAAGGGCCTTTATCTCAACGCGCTCACCAAGACCCATCCCTCAATCTCCTATAGCTTGGGTATCAGTTTCTGATATAGTATTATACAGACTCAGTTCATTCATGTCTTCAGCTTACCTCAGATATAAAGTGAGATATAGAGTTAGGCACATATGATAATAATATAAGACTCATTTGAGCATCTACTACCTTGGACAGCCCTAGGTATCCATGTGGTGAATATATATAGCATATATTGAAGAGGGGAACGCTCTAGTGCAGTATGCTCTCTGGCATACAGGTTGATTGAACACTCATAAGTTCGCGTCATACCCAGCAGGGCATACAAAAGAGACTGGGACTGTCGTCCAAGAAGTGAATTCAGAGAGGTGTAGGAGTTTGTATTCTCAATCAGTAACTGGCTGCTACTTGTGACCTCTGCCCACCTGTACATCAGTGCTTACATAACAATTTCCGGTGAATAAAGTAAAGAAGGGACAGGTCAGGCATCTACGTAGGGAGGGTTCGAAGTATGAGGTACCAGCTCTAAAACAAGATGAAGAAACCGTTAGTGATTTATTGACAATATTAAATGAGGGCGTCTAAAAGGTGACATACTAGTCTCCAATTGGCTAAGGACGTTAGTCTGTAGGTTTGGTATGGAGAACATATTTATCTAGCAAGAAAGCTTCCATCTCATGAATGTTGAAACCCAGCTTTACAAGTAGACGGTCATACAGTGCTTGCAGCATAATTGGCGTGATGCTTTGTGGTTGTGCAGCCCTTATAGCCCCTATGGAAGGAGCTTTGATACTACCGAAAACCTGTATATTAGAGCGGATCTTAGCGCTTGCGTGCTTGCTACAGCCAGCAGGTTAGGAGTTGCAGTATGGAAAGTTTATCAACGCAGACATTTAGTCTTAGAGCACTCAAATATTAACCGGTTGCCTTCAGCGATAGACTTGGCACACATCATAGTATGCACGAGGGGCATTGCGGAAATAAACAAAAGAATCGACTAGGGCTGAAAAGGGCTGAAATAGACTGAAAAGGGCTGAAATAAGCCGGTCCGAAAATCCTGTTTTCCTGTTTTGGAGTGATCGACACGTTGCTAGGGACGATGCCTCAGGCCAACATTATTGGAAGGGAAAACTTCCTGTCAAAATGTGGTCAACGTGGGAAACATTCTTCGACATTTTGACAGACAGGGGGAATTTTCTACACTTCAGATCAAACGGTTTCAAATAAGTCCAAGTCATTGTTACACTACACAACGGTCATCGACGTCATACTCGTCTGTGCGAAAAAAAAGAAGGGCCAAGCATCCACCTACCCCGAGGGCTCCTTATCGTGTTTCATTCGACTATTAACCCGTCGAATCCACCTTGAATCCACCGCATATGTGATTTCCTCTTGTCTTTTCACCCCTCAAGCTCCTTCACCTCTTCTCGGCCACCCTCCAAACAGACCAGCCCCCCTGCGCGTCGGCGCGTTGCTCTGCAGAAACGCTGCATCACACGGAACGTTGCATTGAAACGCGAAACACCCGAGCTTATTCCCTCCATGGCCTTGAATTTGTCATCTTTGCTTCTCCTCGATTCTCGTGAAGCCTAAACCTCAAAATACCCTTTCGAAGCTTCTGGACGAAGTCAGGGAGCAGGGACGATGCGGTCTGGCTTGGATACACCTGGCGCTCTCCCACTCCTTATCCTTATTGCCTTTTCGCTTCTCACATTGGTGCCATCACTGCCGAACCTCTATAACTCGAAGCTCGCGGACTTCAGCTTCTATACTGGTGGAGCTCGCCGTACGTCCCCCTTTCGGTCAATCTCAAGCTCACGCGAGTCAACTAACCAAGTCGACTGTCCAGAGGTCCCTCTCCTTCGAGATAGTGTCACCGAATTAGAACCGAAAGCACCCCCACTCAATGAGCCTCACAAATCATGGATACTTGCATCGTCACATCGATCGCGAGGAAATCGCGCACCACTAACCGCGCGGGTTGAAAATCCCGCTGTGGTCGCGGCCAGCGAGACGACCGCCGTCGCAAATAAAAGTCGACTTCCATCGTTAACCCGCGAATCCTCGTTTTCATTCAGTCGCAGAGCCCGCGCATTCAGAACCTATTTCATCCAGCAATTAGACGACTACCCATTCCTCACGTCATTCTCCAACCGCAGCCTAGTTGCAGGCTCGACGCACCCATATCCTCCCATCACCATGAATGAATCTTTATCAACCTCCGACGATCAATCTGCTCCAACAAGCATCCCGTCATATAATAATTCATCCGACAGTATGCAAGGAAAGCTACTTCCCTTTCCTGCCTTCCTCCGTGACATGTGTCAGCAGGCCTGCCATGTCGCCATTGATTTTGGAAAACGCGTCGGACTCCACGGAGCAGATTATGCGAAATCCATCTCCCTCTTGGAGTGGATTATAGGGGCTCCCACATCATTAATACCTAACCCCACAATTCCAACCCCCGCTGTCTCAAATCAAGACCCATTCACCCCGCCTGAGCAAGCACCGCCCCAACAAAAAGTTGGCTCTGAGGATTCCACCGATGCTGCTGCTGGTCGGCACTCGCAAGAACTCCATGGAAGCTGCATGGCGGTTGTGATTGGTCTTGTTGCGGGTATTATGTGGTTCTAGAGCAGGCTGTTTTGGGTACTGCTACTTCATGTCTGTCCGCTGATATGTGTGATGACCTTTCTTGTCTTATTTGGTTTGGCGCATTGTATTAGATACTTGTAGACAATTGGGCCGGTGGCTCTGGTTAAGCCTCCTGTTGGAATCTAATAATCACATTTACCATTTCTCGTCTCCATATCTCTACAGTCTTCTGGCAATCAGTCCGTTCTTGCACCGGTTTATCAAATCAGGTCAAGCAGCACTACGGTATATTGCACCTGTTAACATCTGGGCATATTATTTGGTAGCTAGTTCTGCTCATTCTCGGTATCGGTACTGGCACCCGTTCACTCAGCCCAATCGACGGCTGTTCTTCTTAAGGGATCCCTGATATGAGGCAATTATCCCCGCTCGAGCCAGGTGTGACTAAACCGAGCAATCTCTCTACAATAACACAATGAAAGAGGGATCCTACATGTGCAACCTAGGCGGCCTTGTTCGGGTTGTCGTTTATATTCCTGAATTTGGACATTTTGGGTCTTGAATAAGAGATACATTGTCTTCCTAGATCTTAGCTAGGGCTTACCATCTTCTACGTTGTATCTATTTTAAGCCTACTTGTATCATGATATCATACATCATACTAGAACTGGCGTAATATGGCCTGCACAAGGCACAGCTCGTAGGAACTAACGGAGTTTCCGTCTTAAAGTCCTTGATAACTTTCAAAAATTATATTCCTAGTATGTTCCATCATCTTCTAAAACCACTCATAAAACCCTTGCGAAGAAACAACCCAATGCACTCGATGAGTGATGACAGTGTGCTAACCCGATGTGGAAAGGTACGTTCTCTAGTGGGGATTTCCGTGGACGTTGGTTGGTCCTTCCGAAGTATATCAACGATGCACTTCAAGAGCACTTATTCCATTATCACCGAGACGAAACGTATAAATAGACCATTGTTTGTAGTTGAATTAGAAGAGAAATTAATCAAGGCTTTCTCGCTTTCGTTATTGCTCCAGCTTTTTTTTCTTCAAACTTCTTTGCCCAAAATGTCCAACAATCAGCAAGTCCTCCGCTCTGAGGTCGTTCTAGAGAAGTATGGAAAGGCCCTTGCTGGAAAGACAGGTAATGAACGACTCCCATCATCTGTCAAGAAAGAAGCACTGACAAAGCCCCCTTCCTTTTGTAGTGCTCATCACTGGCGTTTCCGACGACTCCATTGCAGGCGAACTCGCACTTCAGCTTTCCGCCGCCGATCCAAAGCTACTCATCATGAGTGCCCGTGCCGAATCAAAGGTGGCTGGAATCAGAGAAAAGATCAAGTCTTCGAAGCCGAATGTGGAGACTCGCTTCCTCAACATGGACCTGAGTGACTTGAGCGCTGTACGAAATGCTGTCGGAGACCTAGCAGATGTGTCTCACATCGACCACCTTGTCTGCGTCGCCGGTGTAATGTTCCCGCCTTACAGCAAGACAAAAGATGGATTTGAGAGCCAACTGGGTGTCAATTATCTGGCGAACTTCCTCTTCGTTAAGTTGCTCTTACCGAAGATCCGTGCTGCGGGCCCAGGTTCGTCTGTGGTTATCATGGCCTCGTCCATGGTCAGACAGGGGAAGATGCACTTCGACGACTTCAACTTCAGTGTGAGTTTGACTTTCTGGGTATATCTAACAGCACTGACATTGTAATTCTTTGCAGGATGGCCAAACCTATGACCCTATGGTTGCATATGGCCAGTCGAACGCTGCAAGAGTAATGTTTGTTAAGAGATTGGGCCAGAAGTTGAACAACGAGAAAATTCGTGTTTTCAGTATTGATCCTGGCGGTATGTCTTGCCTTTTTTTATTATTCAGTGGATCTAGCTCACCAATATTTAGCTGTTCAAACTGGTCTGCAACGACACTGCCCTCCGGAGTTTTTGGACCAGGTCGCCGAATGGAAGAAGGCCGGAGGTATGTGGTGCCCTCTTACTACACGTCCTATCTCTCACTGACCAAAAATAGCCATGGTTGACATGGATGGAAAGCCAATCGAAATTCCCCCATGGACTACTACCTCCGAAGGGGCCGCTACCGTCATCACAGGAATGATTGATCCTACCATCGCAGGTAAACAGAAAACCTCGGCAAGCCCGTATTCTCTGTGTCTTTTACTAATCATGTCTGCATCCAGGGTACAATGGCTCGTACCTCAGCCAGAACGCAGTCTCAGACCACGAATTACACACCCATATCAATGACGAAGGGAACTGGACCAAACTTTGGGAACTCAGCGAGAGCCTGACTCAGGAGAAATTTTCACTGTGAGCGATGTGAGGTTGAAAAGACTTTGATGTCTATGTGTTTATTATATAAAGACTGAGATATCACTTGATCTTTGTGAACACAATAGGCTTCTCCCCTCGCTGTTTCCTCCAGTGATTTGAAGATTTGATTATGTCAGGACATTCTGTTATTATCCAACTCCATTTCCTTATAAACGTCTCCGAGAGCTCGTAAGCAGATGGATCCCAGGCTTCGCCCCAAACGCGAAGCCCGACTTCTTGCGACGGAGCACAAGCCCCATAAAAGTCACCACATACTTCATCTTCATCAATCACGTCTGTCCGGACCAAGAGAGCCTCCCGCAGAGACAATATTGGAATCAGATCAACCCAGGGGTGGTGGATTATTTTTCTTTGTTTCTGGGATGGAAACAGGCTTGCTGGGAGATGCACTGCCGACATCAATGGCCCGGAAAGGTTGAATTGGGACGCGAGGTCTTCATTGAGAAGATCAAATGTCAGGCCTAACAGGTCGGCGTTGATTAACATAGCGCGAAGCACATTGTACTGGGCGGCAAAAAAAGTAGGATTGGATGAGAGAATAGGGTTCTCAATCATGTGCAAGGCTTTTGCATAGAGTTGGTTCATAAACTCATCGCGCTGGGAGGGAGTGAAGTAACAGAAATATTGTTCGTTTTGGCTGGAAGGCGGCGGGGATAATTGAGTAACTTGATGGCTTGTTGCTGCTTCTTCTTTTGTGAATGCATTCTTTTTTGGGATGTTTGAATCACCGATATAGACAACCCATTTCCTCTCTGTCGTTTTTTGTTGCTTTTTACATTCTAATGCCTTCTTTTTCCCTGTATAACGTGTTAGTCTGAACAGTTGATAGTTGAGATGCCGAGCGTGCCGAATCGGAGTGCCACCTACTGCTCGCACGTTGATTCAGTCGATTTTGGAGTCGTCTTCGAGCCGCGGGATCTAATATCTCTACCGAATTATCTGAAGCTGTTTGCTCGAGAGCTGTCGGTTTATCAGCGTGGAGAGCCATCTTCAAAAGCCGTAGTTGAGGGGACGAAGTGGTAAGACGCGAGAAAGTTTGGACGTGAGGTGGCCCCAACGCCAAGTTCGGAGTTAGCGTTAGATCCGAATAAACGCTGCCAGCATAACTGGACGACATACTACAACATATCAAATATTCTAATGCTAATCTATCGATCTTTCGTTTTCGATCGGGAGAAATAACACATATGGATATGATTTCAATTATCCCATCTACTCTCTGAGAAACTCGGAATCGCGTCCGATGATCTCTTCCCCCCTTCATATTTATGACGTAGCATAGTGGCCAAAAACCGAAAAGAGTAATATTCTCCAATGTCTTGGAGGTAATGACCGTCTATAGAAACTATTAATTATTCTCTTATATTATACGAGATATCTGGTCTTGATCTCATACATTGCGAATAGAATATGACACTTACCTCCAAACTCCGGCGAATACTCACCTGTGGCTGTAAGAAAGATTCAGGTCCCAGCACAATAAGCAAGCCACGCACAGAGACTGGGGATGACAATACAGATGATGACCCTTATGGCGCTTTGAGTGAGGTCGCTGCTCCAGGACCGGTCGAACGCACGACTGAAGAGGAAGAAGCGCTCCACGAATCCCTCGATAGGAACCTCTCTGAGCCACATTCGCACCCTCATCTCAGCAATAATTGAATGGTTTGAACACAGATATCTGGTCCATGTACTGTACCCTTCTTGTTCTTTGTGTATGAGATCAGTAACTATACTAACATACTAAAGAACGACTTCACGGAGTGCACATGGTACATAAACCTTTGGGGGAAATGAGTCTCATTGTTCCTGGGCATCAATAGCTTTAAAGATACCCTTTTCAACCTCAAAAGTGCACAGGCAAGAGATCAAAATGCGGCTTTTATCGGACATTCCGCGGAAATCTAAACTGAAGCTCTTCCCAAGGTTGTTTAGGCATGGCGGGCCGCTGAATTTACGGATAGGTTAATTATGAGCTTCATTAAACTCGTGCTTACTACCCTTCCCACGTCTTAAATAAACTTTACAATAGAGAATGATAAATACAATGTAGAGGAGGGATCTAAGGGCGCCTGAGAATCGTCAGACTGTAGTCCGACGGCCAGACATGCATATATCTGGCTTTGGGACCTGGCGTGCAATTTACCTGATCGGACAATGTGCTCGAGCATCTCATAATATCCTAGGCAAAGTTCTTGGTGAAGCAGCCTGTTTCAGATACTCAGTTTAAATAGGAAGTTGACAAAAAAACATCGTGTCATCCAATTGAGTATGAGTACTTCGACTGAATACTTTTACTTTGCCCAGACAGATGCATCATACCCATCCATCAAGGATGTATACTCGGAACCGGCCACAACCCATCCTTTGATGCCCCCCGAGAGAACCAAGCTCTTAACCTCTGTGTCGTGTTGGTCTTCGAGGTAATCCGCAAACCACCCTGATGCGCGAGTACCTCGACCAGCAGATGATCCTGAAGGCAAATTAGTATTTTCAGTTCAGGAAGTCGGCGTCATATTTTCTTTAGTAAAACTTACCACAGTACCAAATCACATATTTCACGCTGCTGTTTGATACAAGAGAATACAATGTTGGGATCGTGGGGTATAAACTTTGAGCTGGCAAGTTCAATGACCCTTGAATCGTTCCTCCCTGTTAACACATCAGTGCATGAAGACGTCACTTTTTTTAAACCGTTTATACCTCATAGTCTGTACGACGCAAGTCAACAAGTAGAAAGTCTTTGCCTGCTTGTTTACCCTCTCGAATCCATTGCAAAAGCTCTTCTCGCGATATGGAGGTTGCCACACCCCTTGGTGCGGGATATGCAGCATGCCATGGAAGCTCGGCAGACATTGTGGTTGACACAGATGATAAAATTGAAAATTGAGATATTAGACACTCATCAGACTGTTGACTCTACAGCTAGAATACCCCAAATACCCCGCCTCCGCTTGTGAGGAATGTCACTCCCGCACTCTGATTGGCTGAGACAAATTCTCTAGATTTGATTCTTCAGCCAATCAGCGCCCGTCAGTGACATATCATTGCCATCTAGTTCTATACAAATATCTATAGACCTGGACGAATATAAAATTGTCCCCTGATGTCTGCTAAGTCCGCTGCATTTTAGTAATCATCTTCCAAAAAGGCATTAATTGACCAATCTTGATCATTTACCATGGCATCAATACACCCACAGGCATGCTTACATGCCTCCTCCAGTCCTCCCAACAGCCAAATAAAAACATGCGACATCGAAAAGCAAAGTGAGACCTCTTCTCCAATTAAGCCACCGAAGAAACAATCAATGTTCTCAAGTCTCGGTCTCCTTGACCGGTTTTTGGCAATATGGATTTTTCTTGCCATGGCGATCGGAATCATCCTGGGCAACTTTGTCCCAAGCACAGGCCCTGCCCTACAAAGGGGAAAATTCGTGGGAGTCTCTGTTCCCATAGGTACGTGCAAGCAAGTGCCAACCTTTTTGTGGTCTCTACTAACTGAAAATGTGCTTCTAGCTGTGGGTCTTCTCGTCATGATGTACCCTATCCTGTGCAAGATTCGGTTTGAATCCCTGCATCATGTTTTCCGAGCGAAGGATATTTGGATCCAGATGGCCTTCAGTATTCTTCTAAATTGGATTATTGCCCCTTTTCTTATGGTTCGTCATTTAACACTTTCACGGCATGTAGCCCATTGCTAACTTGTTTTCCATTAGTTGGCCTTGGCTTGGGCGTTTTTGCCCGACGAGCCAGAATTGCGACAGGGACTGATCATTGTTGGATTGGCACGATGCATTGCCATGGTGAGCCTACACCACTCAGCAAACGGGCCTCGAAACCGAGATTGTGCTAACCTAGCTTTTATCAGGTGCTAGTTTGGACAGGATTAGCTGGAGGCGACAACGAATATTGTGCCATCCTCGTCGCTCTCAACTCAGTGCTACAGATGGTTCTTTTCGCTCCAATGGGGGTATTCTTCATCAGCGTCATCAGTGGCGATCCAGTCACATTCGAATATTCAACAGCTGCCAAAAGTGTTGCGGTGTTTCTCGGAATACCTCTAGGGGCCGCTATCATCACGCGTTTCGTGCTGCGACGAATCTCTGCGAAATGGTATGATGAAACCTTTCTTAAATGGCTTAGCCCATGGTCTCTCATCGGTCTGTTGTTCACAATCCTTGTGTTATTCGCCTCGCAAGGTCGACATGTGGTCCACCAAATCGTCTCCGTGGTCCGAGTCGCAGCACCGCTCATTGTCTATTTCCTGATCATCTTCTTTGCGACCCTCCTTGTCGCATACAAATTGGGATTCGGCTACAAGTTAGCCGCTGTGCAGAGCTTTACGGCTGCTAGCAACAATTTTGAATTGGCGATTGCTGTTGCGGTGGCGATGTTTGGTGCGGATAGTAACCAGGCTCTTGCTGCGACTGTTGGGCCTCTCATAGAGGTTCCTGTTCTGTTGGGTCTGGTATATGCTGTCAAATTGATAGCTAGACGAGTTGGTTGGAATGATTAGGGGGTAAAATATAATATTTAGACTATTAATAATTATTTGGAGGAACATCGAAATTTGACGTCCTGCGATCTGCGGGATATTTATCTAGTGACATTCCACTTTCATTTAATTGGAAGATACTTAACTTTTCCTCCGCGCCATTCTCCACTTCTTTTTCATTTAATATCACGATATTTGAACTTCTTCAACTTCATCTTTCTCCCCCACAGGTGTTAGTCACAAAAACCCTTCGTTATAAAAGTTCTTCTGTCCAACTCAAAATATGCCACGCACAAAAACCAAGACCAAGGTCAGTTAACTAGTAATTATCCCATCTTTCTATTTATCCCATTACATCCCTCTCATGTTCTACTCGTCTAGAGCGAAGATCTCGCCCGTATTCGCAATAATCAACGGCGATCAAGGGCAAAACGACTGGAATATATTCGGGAGTTAGAGGAAAAAGCAAAGAAATACGACGATATAATTGGATCGAAATCTCCGCCATCGCTATCAGCATTTGATAAATTGCAATCTGAAAATGCTTGGATGAGAGGGTTATTGGTCACCCTAGGCATCAATTTCAACTCTGTGGATGCACCCCCCGGAAGCATTCACGATAGCGAACCCAATATGGTATCAGCGGTAGGGTCACACATTAAACAACCATAGTCTTCAGGTTCTGACTATTTAAAGATCACAGGATCCTTAGCTGGTAACGTGGAGACTCAGCAACGTATGGAAACTCCAACCCCATTGTCATTCTGGGATCAATGGGATTCGTCGGGTCTATCGCCTGACATGGGGTTGGATTTCAACATCCCGTTACTATCGAACGAGATCAATGATTTTGCCAATCTGGATCTTCCCTTGGCAGACCTGGCAGAACCGAATCTTGGTGCTTGGCAGTATCATGAAACCCAGGAGTGCACCGAGACAAGCACTCCGAGTAACATGAATACAACTCTGTGCTCTTTAGCATGTCAATGGGTGATCCAATGCAATACCAAAGGTGTGGAATTGGATGTGTTGTACTTTCGGATGGAGCGTGGTTTCAAACAAGGCAATAGTCCCTTGGAAGGATGCAGGGTGGATAACCAAGTGCTTCTTAAGGTTTTAACGGAAATATCTTGAGATAAGTCGAGTTTAGTTTCAACTAATATGCAGCATTTCTCCTATCGCTTGACCGCATAAATCTGAAACGAGCCTGTGTGCAAATCAGCTTTGGTTCAACAATCGAGAAGCCTTGGAGACTCACCAGCCCATTCATTGAAGTCACACTCCAGCAAGTCACTTTCACAAGGATTCTTTCCTTGTGCTCCTCCACAACAAACAGCTGATGCCGACTGGTCGCTCGTCTCTCCAAGATCCATCTGACCCTGAACCAAATCTTTGTATACGTTGATGTCATTGTGGGTGTCGACAATTACAATATCTAAGAAGAAAATGATAGTTAGCGAAATGAACAAAGCACGATGACACCTTGACAGATACCTTTGAACCCTGCCTCGGTGAGGTACTTCTTATACTCGTGAACCTGGCTAGCCCCTGCAATGCATCCAACGTAGAAAGACAGGCTGTTGACCACTTCTTTGGGGAGTTCCTTTCGAGTGAGAATATCACTGATAGCAAGACGACCTCCGCGTTCCAGCAAGCGGAACATCTCTTCGAACACAAGATGCTTGTCAACTGTAGGAACGAGGTTTACGACACAGTTGCTGATGATACAGTCGGCGATGGCGTTCGGCAGAGGGATAGACGTTATCGAGGCTTCGATGAAGGACGCGTTGGAAGCACCCGCTTTCTCCACATTTCTGCGAGCGAGCTCGAGCATGTTCTGTGTCATATGTCTTAGGTGGGATATCTCGAGTCGTTGATAGAAGATAGATGCTCACCTTCGTCATGTCCACACCAATGGCTTTCCCTTTGGAGCCGACTTTCTTGGCTGCGAGCAGAACGTCGATGCCACCACCACTCCCCAGATCAATCACTGTCTCGCCCTAGGATAAAGAGTTAGGTAGTTGCAAGATAAGCTCGGTTGGCGTTGAAATTCACCTCTCGCAAGTTGGCCAGGGCCAAGGGATTCCCACAGCTCACTCCAAGGTTTGCAGCCTGGGGAATCGAGCTGAGGTCTGTAGCCTCATAGCCGAATGCTTGGGCAATCTTTTCCTCGGTTTTCTTCTGCTCGCTGGTGGAAGAGCGATCGGCTAACTCACCATAACGATCTTGGACACTATCATAGATTGGGTTTGAACCCATATTGTAAGTCCAATATTGGAATTCTGATTGATGAAAGTGGTGGTTGGAAAAGAGGCGGTGGTTAACAGCGCAGGTTTTATGTTTGAATCTTTCGCGCAGTAAGCATCCCGCTCACAGATGTAGCAGCATGTCACCATATTTGGATGATCCAATCACGACCCGACAATCAAGTTACAATAAAAGGCATTGGCCCTACCTAGATACATTACGATAGGAAGATACAAAACGTTTCATTGGCTCTCACTTTTTCTGGCATGTCACTGCATTCGACGAATGAGAATGTGTGAACAGCCCTGTAGTGCTAGTCCCAAGACTACCTAGGTAAACTTCACGTTGGATTAAACCTTGGAATTAAATAAACAAAAAGAAAAAGAGAGGCGCAGACCCGCTGTTTACACCCAGCCCCTTGGGACCGCCACCCCCTCAGATACTAAGTGCCGATCAATTACCCTGTGGGTGTGGAAGAGCGCGTCTCTATAGCGCGGGTTTGCACCAGGCACTATATCATACGCCTCCCCCATCCAACTGAGCTAACCGGGGCGGATCTGCTGGTGGGGTTATGTTTGCCTTCCCTATAAGGGACCTATTTCCCGATTAGGAAGTCATATATCTATTTAGTTACCCACTGGCCAGTCAGAGTTCGATCCCCTACCTAGGTAGTATTACTTTTATTCTCATCCTTTTCTGTGGATGTTACTCCAGGAGGCTACTATCTGGCAGTTTTTCGACAAAATGTTCTGCTTCTTTTAACACAGCTTCCCTTGCACCACTGGAGTCGCTCGTAGATCTAACAGGCTCTAACTACTTCTTCTCCTGACATACATTCCCTCGAATAGCCATTGACGTTATTCTTCAAGACGTTGATTTATTCTTGGGCAACAGTTCTGCCTTGCGTGATCAGACTTTTGCTTCTGATATGTCATAGACAGTCTATTAAGACTAAGCACAAAAGCGAACCATGTTATATATATGTATTTATCAAGCGAGCCATTGAGAAGAAAGGAGATTTCATTCAGTAAAATTATCGAATCGTACATGAGCTTAAACTTCGACCATCCCTAGTGACCCGCAGACCTTCACGCCTCTTACTTCGCTTCGTAATCTAGATCCACAGGAATGCTCTCCAGCCAACCGAAAGTCAGCCTACGGCCGGGAACAGTAGATTCACCATCTTCCGAAAATCTGCTAAACGGAACGTCCAGGCCCAACCTAGCATACATCTGATGCCAGACAACAGGGGGGAGGCGGATATCATTGTCAGAGACGATAGTGTAGCTATCAGTTTCTGTGCCAGAAGTGTTACTTAACAGATCTAGCATAGCCCGAGAGCGGCCGATACGCCGGCCAAGCTTAGGCACCATTCCGCAGCACTCTTCATAGTTGCGCAGAAGAGCTTCGACCTGGCGGACCTGGGATTGCATTGCTGTGGCCGACCTGGTCATGCCTCCAGATTCCCCTCGTTGCACCAAACTAAGTGGGGAACTCCGCGAGGCGATAAGCACGAGAGAGGCAGCGTACAGGTAGTCCAGTTGCTCAAACTTCGAATCGTCCTCGTTCTCCAGGGCGAAGGATGCGCAGAGAGTTTTGACAATGTCCTGGGCGGCAATAATACACTTCATAGCGGCATTGTGAACCAGCGCAAGATGGGGATTCATATCCAGAGCAGTCATATTCTTGCCGGGCACATGAGGAGCCATTTCACAGTTGCATGCGCGAGAAAGTCGTAGACACAGGATAAAGAAAGGGCGGTAGTGGCGCAGCAGGAAGTACGTGTATCTCACATGAGTAACAAGACACATGCGGCGGATAATCGGGTCTTCCTCCAAGGTCAAATCGATGCTAGATTCCTTCCATCCCAGAAATTTGGGCAGGCCATTCTTCCAGCTAGACAGATTTAGATTGAGTTCCTGGAAATCGCGAAGTTCCACGATAGAAAGCCATTTGATGGGACATTCCATACGAGTCAGACGTAGATCATTTTCGACTGTGATGAGCTGTTCGGTGTTCTTGTAAAGCGAGGCACAAGCAACGAAGAAAGAATATGTGGCGAAGGGTCGGTTGTTGCTATACAACAACTCACTTCCCATGTTATTCTCAATCTGCGACTGCATCGGCATCGGAAAATCGTAAAAGGTTTCGAAGGATTGATCAACAATTCCAAGCTGAAGGGCGAGAGACAACTTCTTCATCCACAGAAACTGCCATGCTAGGCGCACCTGCTCCAAAGACTGCGCATCCACGGCAAGACGTCCACCGTACGTGGTTTGCATCCGAAGTGGCTGGGCTCTGCCGATAGCTAGAGACAAGGTTTCCCAGGCCATTCTCAGATGGCCAACCATATGGAGATACTGGATTTGGAGAATCTGTTGGTGGAAAGATCCAAGCGAGTGGGGTTGAGAGTTCTGGATGGCAGTGATGTGGGCCATAGCAGCGTCGTACCATTTTCGGGGCTCACAGATGGACTTATCGGGACTGAGGTGACAAGAAATTGCAAGACAGAGCCCGAGGGTTGGATCAATAGCGTTGGGTTGGACGTTGCCTTTGTTCACGGCAAGGGCGAAAGCAACTTTGAGTTGGTCAAGATTAAGGATTGGCAGAAAAGAGGCCTGCTTAGCAATGAAGACATTCCAGAGTTTTTTCGGGATTTCGGAGTTGAATGGCTGGCTGCTAGAAGCAGAGCGCTTATGAGCCGGGGCGATGATGTTGCTAAGGTTCGACGAATGGTTGTCAGAAGCAGCACGCCTAGGAGCCGGAGCAATCATGTTGCTGGAGCTCGACGCCTGGTTGCCAGAAGCAGCACGCTTAGGAGCAGAGGCGACGATGTTGTTGGACTTTGACAGCTGGTTACCAGAAGCAGCACGCTCGGGGGCCGGAGCAATGATTTTGTTGGAGTTTGACGGCTGGGTGCCAGAAGCAGCCCGCTTGGGAGCTGGGGCAGCCATGTCGTCAGACTGGCCCCCAGGAGCAGGACGTTTCTTGGACACCGGCTCCATGGAAGGCGACGCAGTGTTGTTTGATTGCGACGACTGGCTGCCAGAAGCGACACGCTTCTTGGGCGTACGCTTTACGATGAAAGGAAAGGACGACGACATGGTGTCATCGGGCAGATCAATGGATTCAACGGGTGTTGTGGATAAAGATGAAGAACGAGAGGGGAGAGGAGGAGGGTGGGTTGTTGAAAGAGAAAGGGAGGGGAAAGGAGGGGGATGGGATGGTGAAGGAGACACAGAGGTGACAGAGTTTTGTTGACGTGTTGTCCTTGAGGGTGTTCCTGGCGTGTTTGAGGAAGGCACGCGTGGAGAGGTAGGCTTGGGTGGCACCTTCCTTGTTGAGATTGGAGTTTCTGCTTTGACACCTGGACTATTTGCCCTGACATTGGCAATCTCTCCGTCTGGGTCTAAAAACTCCGCAAACTTCTTACGGTTTGAAGGACTCAACTTCGAGTTAGTCGCTATAGCTTCAAGAAGCTTGTTGCAGAGGAAGCCGAGGCGTGAGTCTGTCTCATCCAAGCCATAGGCATCGGGATGAAGCATGACCTTTTGTAGGCGATGGAGGAACAGGTAGTTGTGATCGGATGTTGGAGGCGCCGATGCACTTGACAGGCACTCTTCAACGCATATGATACGCTCTTGCATCTTCTTCTCCTCGGGGCTCATCAATGGGCCATACAAGAAATTCTCAAAGCGACTGAGAAGAGCACGAGAACATCGGCCACCCTTCTCCAGCTTGACTGTTGCAACTCTCATGAGATCATCTTCTTCACGCCACTCGTCATTCAATGGCATAGCACTTGATCCATCAGTCATGGCTTCAGGGGATGGGCGTTCAGCCTTGGCTTTCATGAGTAGCTTCACGATGTTGCGCAGAGGCCCCGCTGCAAGATTGCGATGCTTCATTCTCTGAACATTGATTTCGGTAGTCAAGTTGCACCGGAGCTCCGTTTCATCTTGAGACAGAGTAGGAGATATACTACGCAGTGGAGGAGCCCGACTACTTCCACTGGGCGTACCAGTTCCGAATGGTGGTTTGATTTGACCTTGTACCAACGCAGATTGCCTAGCGGCACTTCCAGAGCCGAGTTCGGATATCTTTTGCTTTTTTGCAGGAGACTGCTGGGGTATCTCCGTCTGCTGAACATAGTTGGAATCATTTTGGATGGCTAATCCAACCACATCATTGACAAGCTCAGTTTGTTCAAAAGAACTGTCTGCAGATCTTAGTCTTTTGTCGCCTGCTATGGGTAAAGCAGAGGCATTTTTGGAGATTAGTCCTGGGAATGGAGCATCAGTCTTCTTGGTGATTCTGTCCTCGGTACTAAATGGAATAAAATTAGTCATTTTGACTTGGCCAAACTGATATCACAGATAAACATACACTGGTAAAGCTGCAGAAGGATATGTGCATTCAGCTTCAAGACCCATGCTCCGACAGGTCGCGCAGGCTATGTAAATAGTTAGTCATCAATGCACTTGCAATTCTCGTTGCCCTATCAAGTCAGGGGATGCTTACCCGGTCTAGTGCGGTCACAGCGCCGGTGTCTTGCCTTGCATTTTACACAAGGGAGTCCCAAAGGGTGGGTTGACTGTGCTGAAGAAGTTTTTGACAATGGAGCCGATGATGGCCGCGAAATATCAGCGTCATTCGCCATTGGCGTTTGGTCGGCCATTGTCAGATTCACTTCCCTGAATCAATAGAGTAAAGAATTGGATCTATAAAGGTAACAGTATTAGTCCGCGTTGCTCAAAACTTGGGATGATAGGGTTCGCCTGGCTGGGTTGGCTGTAGCTTGATAGAGACCGCACAGTCCCCCATAAAGCCGTCAACAAGATATTCTTTTTGAAAATCACTCACCAATATCAAAACCTGAGCCTCTGAAAGGGCCAAGTGGAACTGAATAGGATGAAGATGTTAGTTGTTGGTTGTTGGTTGGTTCGCGAAGTAGATATAGTTCAGAGTGAAGTGAGAACAACCATCTGCACAGTGCAATGCGAAAGATGCTGCACCAACATCACAGATCGGATTTAAGAACAGCTTACCGAGTAATTTAAAAATATGTCGATCTGAAATCATTCACCGAGGAATAATGAATGAAAACGCGTAGAGGCGCGTGGCAGAACCGTGAGGGTCAGAATGGCAGATGATTATGAAACTCGGATCACGACGAGGGCTCCAAGGCAGAACAAGAGTTCAAGACCCAGTCCAACCTCACCTCATCAGATAAAATGCCCTGGATGATTTGCCGCATGTTCTTGCGTAGTGACGATGATACCTGAGAAAGGCTACCTCAAGAGTAAGAGTTAGGGGTAACTAGTTGTTACCTTACCGCCTAGCCATAATCTACTACTATACTCGCGATGCCCTCGGTAATAGCCCCGTGATACCACCTACAATATGGAAGTGCAAAAGTAACTTGAAATGAGTACATATAGTTTTAATTTTCTAACCACCAGTACACTCAAGTAATTTGACACGAGAGAGAATGACTGAGTTATGGCGAATATCACATGTATCAAGGCCAGGTTCGATTGATTAGGGCCACGAAACTAATTGGAATTATAAGTCAAGTATATAATCGACACATTGAGATGCTCATGGGGAACATGGGCTACATATATTGTACAATAATGTGGCATCCGGGTATATCATAAGTGGGTCTGCCATCATTCACCTGACGGCCAAAGACGGATCAAATACTATCAGAAGTTTACCCCTTGTGAAATGTGCGGGGCTGCTGGATCCTTCAAGTATGAAAGGAGAACCGAGTATACAGAGATAATGCAACAAGTGCCATGAACATTACTATGTCTCACAATGCCGATGCCTCCATATAGGAAGATCCCCCCGATGTGCAATGCGCAGTTCTCGCCAGCAGATCATGGCAATCGGTACGGTTGGACATGTAATGCTCATGCAGAACGAAATCATCAGGACTGTGCTTTTTCCGCTTCGTCTACCGATCGCTCAACTTCTTGTTCTGTCCATCGATGGAACAATTTACGCGCATCGGAGAGATTGGCTTCCTTGGGCAGTCCGTTGTGAACTGATTGAACGTGGAGCACTGGAACATCAAACTCGTAAACATCCTTCCAAGATTTGTTTCCCGGTTCCATGATATCCGCTTCGACGTATTCAAAGGAGCGTCGTTTCTGGAGCTGAACCACGGTGTTTTTGGCGGTATCGCAAAGGCCACAGCCCGCGCGTGTAAACAGCGTCAAGCGGGCTGGACTGAAAAGGGAACGCGTGGGAAACATGGAGAGACAATATCAATTATGCAAGGAATGAATTCAACCACTGGGTTTCGAGATGGCCGGTGCCGTGACGCGAATGCGGTCAGAGAGTTCTCCGCGATGGAACATTCGAGCTTCCCCGCTAAACCCTGTTAGGCAACCTGCGCCATTCTCTCCATAACACTTTACAATCTTCTCTCTCGACTCAGTCCCGTCAATTACCTTATAATCTGTCTTGCTATACACCATGGCGGGCAAGTGCGTTCACAAAGCGTGTGGAAAGACCTTCACGGACCCGGAAGAAGACTGCGTGTATCATCCGGGTCCCCCAGTGTTCCACGAGGGGCAGAAAGGTAAGTACCTTGGTGTTCAAGCTATGCCAGATCTGTGTCCCATGAGTCCACCAAGGGTTCACGGTGGCCCATTGTGGCAGCGCAATGTGACACCTGATCTTGGCTCCAGCTTCTGCTACGTTTCTACCCCGCGACACCGCTAACTTCTCAGGCTGGAAATGCTGCAAGCCCCGCGTCTTGACCTTTGAGGAATTCCTCGCCATCCCGCCATGCACAACCGGCAAGCATTCCACCGTCGATGACACACCCGCGCCCGAGCCCAAGGCTGAGGAAGTCATCGCTCCTCCTACACCTCCTGAGCAGAAGAAGTCCGAGCGGCTACCCATCTCCGCTACTCCAACTATCGCAACTGCGGCGCCTCCTGCGAAGCCAGTTATCGAGGAGCCTGAGTCTGATGATCCTGATGCGGAGATTCCGGCAGACGCAACATGCCGTCGGAGGGGTTGCGGCGCGTCCTATACCGGGTCTACTGCTCGTGATGAGGAAAAGTGCGTCCACCACCCGGGCCAGCCGGTCTTCCACGAGGGCAGCAAGGGGTGGTCCTGCTGCAAACGCCGGGTTCTCGAGTTCGATGAGTTCCTGAAGATCCCCGGCTGCACAGAGAAGACGAGACACATGTTTGTTGGCAAGGCCAAGCCCGCAGGCGAAGAGAAGGTGGAAACAGTCAGGTACGTATATGACAAGACAAGCAGACCAGCTCTGCTATTTTGTTTTCGAAAACAGTAAACTGACATGCTTTCGCATTCTACAGAAATGATTTCTACCAGACCCCCACCGCCGTCAACGTCTCCCTTTACCTCAAGAAGATTGACAAGCAACGAGCCAAGGTTGAGTTTGCCGCCAACTCGATTATCTTCGACCTTCCTACCACAGACAACAAGCGCTACCAGGATACATATAGTCTCTTTGCGCCGATTGACGCGGAGAAGTCAACTTTCCGTGTGCTGGGAACCAAACTAGATTTGAGCTTGATCAAGGCCGATGGTACTAGCTGGCCAGTGTTGCGCAGTGATGACAAGTGGACTGGACAGCGCATCCAGATTGGCAATGCTGGACATGCTTGATTGGGGACATGTAAAAAGTTACACGATAGAAAATTTCAACGGTTATGACGGTGATGACAATCAAGATCTTGTCTCTAGCAGCACACGTAGCTGACGTTTGGTCGTGGCACGTACGTGGAGGTATGTAGCCTGAGGTGCTCGGCATGCCGACATCAACGATATATCCTAGCAAGATAAACCTGAACATTATAGGTCTAGTCTTGGCGAGATATGGCATCGCAAGAGCTCATAAACCTAGAAAGGCTTCTGAGATTCTTTTAAGATGAATTGTACATAACGTACAAAATTTACACCGTGCCAATTACCAGTTGGAAATCTCACAATATCCAATGCTACGCTCGTTGCAACCTCTGATCAAATTTGAAGACCAGAGCAAGCAGAGACAACTCAGATCACATAAAAGTGACTGAAAAAATGGTATGTGACGCCCTCTCCACAGCTAGCACCCATGGGGCTTCCCGAAGGATACCCTAGCATAGCCATAAAGTGATTGGGAAAAAGAGAGACGCCTTTACTCTCCAGGGCCGGGAACGGAAGAAAACCCATGATGGCCGAAACCATAGGATAACCCTCAGCAAGCCACATTGTGGAGCCCCGTTGAAATTTACATTAAGTTATGTAAACCTCTACTGATGATGGAGAGAAAAGAAAAAAGAGTAAAGGCGCGGGCGAGGAGATCCTATTTATGTGTCTCGAAGTCAACATACGCTAGAGCTAATTGGGTTTCGGTGTAAGTATTTTTCCATTTCGTTGACTAATATTGGATTTTATGACTAACTTCCCTTTTTTTGTTGAGGGATTTTGTCGGATTGGGTAACTAGGGCTACTCTCAGGGCTTACCCAATTCATGTGACCTTAGACCCTCTTTAGGTAACTTCCAATCTCTTTCATGTGATCGTCCCGTGACTTGCGCCGGCTAAAACAAGCAATGTACATAGTACATACATTGTACGGAGTACAGTCAAGATACTTTAGTACCACTTCGCCACCAACTTGCTCTTGAAACAGAGAATACGACGTTAATAGATTGATCTTCAACATTGAGGTTCTAATAGGCTATCTCAAAGAACGGAAACTTTGTACATCCATGTACCACTAGTATGTTGTAGTAGTGGCGGTGGAAAAGTCCCTTTTTTCCTCAAAGTACCTTGGGCCCCAGCGAATAATCACATCTTCCAATCACGGGTCGGGAGCACGAGACCTCCCCTCGCTGTCTCAATTAACCTCCCCGCCATCGATAGCGTCTTCGAATTCTTCGCCCCTGAATCTCTTGTACCTCCGCCATAATACAGAATCCGCCTTTCCACATTGTGCTCTACTCCTCTCCAAAATTTCATCTCCATTTGCACATTGCGCTAGCAGCATAGACTTGTGCAATTGCCTAAATCCTGAATACAGGACATCATCACTGATATAGAGGCGGTCCCTCTCAAACAGTTGTGGACTAATTAAATAGCACAAGGACAACCCGAGACACAAACCATCTCGCGCCCGTACCCCCTTTTCCACCTCCACTTCACTCAACTCCAACATGGGCTCGACAGAGACTCAGGCGACCACGCCAGAATTCCGATACATTCCCCTATCATACAGCCATGCCGACTCCCAGTCATCTGCTCTTAGACTAATCCTGACCCTGAACCCCGACTGGGAGGGTCCTGGTAACAACATTGAGTTCGTGCGATTCACCGACGGCATCACCAACACCGTGTGTCTTTCTTTCCTACTGTTGCTTCCAGCGAGACCAGCAATAAGGTCGTCAGAATTCAATCAAGACTAACACCTCTCTAGCTCTTGAAAATTATCAACCTGAGACCTGGCCTGACGGAGGAACAAATAGACAATGAGGCAGTACTGATGAGGGCGTACGGAAATGGCACAGAGATCCTCATAGATCGCGAAAGTACGAGCAAAATCCCCCCGACGGACAACCTTCGTCGAAATCCCTACTTCTCAAACCACGAAATGCCCCTCCGCGCCTCCCTTGCCCATTGCGACATATGCTGAAGTAGATCAATTATTCTTAGGAGAAACCAAGTCCCACGCACTTCTAGCCAGCCGCGGCCTGGCCCCGCCCCTCCTCGCTCGATTCAAAAACGGCCTGCTCTACCGCTTCATCCGCGGCAGGCCATGCGGCCACCTGGATCTAGTCTCCCCGCCCATCTGGCGCGGTGTCGCCCGCCGCCTAGCGCAGTGGCACGCCATCCTGCCTAGTAGCGGAGCCGCGTCTGTCGAGGACGCCTCTGTGGCCGAGATCGCGGACATCCAGGACGATGAGATCACCGTAATCCAGCCCCGTCGCGCGGGTCCGTCTATGTGGGCTGTGCTGCAGAAGTGGGTGCTGGCTTTGCCAGTTACCACGCCCGAGCAGCGCGCTCGTCGGCTGAGTCTGCAAGCAGAGCTGCAGTGGGCTTTGGATATTCTGGATGATGGGAAGGGAATTGGTGAAGACGGGGTATGTGGCTCCCGGCCTCGATCCTCTGGAAACGGGAATTGCGTTGTTTGAATATTGGCTAATCTTTGGGTTTATAGCTCGTCTTCTCGCACTGCGATCTTCTCTGTGCAAACGTCATTGTCCTTCCGAGCGACAACGGCGTTCCAACCCCCGAAGACGGCATCGCGCCTGTCAACTTCATCGATTATGAATATGCAGTCCCTGCGCCCGCGGCCTTCGATATCTCGAACCACCTTGCTGAGTGGGGTGGCTACGACTGCGATTACAACATGATGCCGACCAAGTCTGTGCGCCGTCAGTTCCTGACTGAGTACACGAAGAGCTACTGTGAACAACGCGGTCTTGACGCTTCGTCCGAGTCTGAGATTGTCAACCGCCTGTACGAGGATGTTGACCGCTTCCGCGGCATCCCCGGTCTCTACTGGTAAGTTCAGCAAACACAATTGGAAAAACAGCGCAATCGCCGTATCATGCTAACAATATCTCCCAGGGGTGTTTGGGCACTCATTCAAGCGCAAATCTCCCAGATCGATTTCGACTACGCCAGCTACGCTGAGGTTCGTCTCGGCGAGTACTACGCGTGGAAGCGCGAGGTGGACGGAAGTCGCAAACAAGCTGGTGAGGAGATGCCGCTGCGCGAGTCCCGCTGGGGATCGGAGGTGTAAAGCCATTCGCAGTTCTCCCTTTTGAATTCCAATCCTCTCACACTCCTACGAAATGACGTCAATTAATCCTTCGGCATTTCATTTTCCCGAACCCTATGTCAGCGTTATCAATTCCCCATGATCCTGACAAAATCCTATCCCTTCACCTCAGTCTTGCAATTGCAAGAAATACTCAACTTGGCACTCCAGAAATTCAACAATATCCTCGGGGTCAGCCTACGCCGAAACCGAATGTAACCAATGAAAACAAATCAAAGTTGTGGTCTTGGACGACCACAGACGAGGTTGGACCAAGAGGTCCAATCCAAGAGAAAATAAAGAGAAAGATAAAAGAGGAATACTCTACTCCTACTGCAGTGTAGGGTCGGAGCAAAAGTCTTGGATCTGTCGATATAGATGGTGGTTGTCTCTTCGCATCGTGGTGACCATTTTTCCTGGTCTTGTGTGTTGTCTTTCAACAACGTCATAGCTGGGGTGTTTTAAGGTTAATATAGTTTCTTTTTTCCCTCATTTTTATTATTCATTCATAATTTTCGAATAAACCTATCCTAAAGACTTGTTTCCCAGATTTATACATGAAGATTTTGGGATGCAAGAACTTTCTCACTCAACACAAGTATATTGAAACCAGGTCGGTGCCAACCTGTGACACTGTAGAGTAGGTGTTGTGTAGTATACTTCAATATACACAAGGTTTACATTTTAAATCAGAATTGGTTGTAAAAAAATAACAAAAAAATTGAAGTTCTTGGAAGAGCTCGAGAAATATATATCTCCACTTGATTATCTGCATATACTTTTAACACCTTCCGTATTAACTCAATGTATCCGATGTCTCAATTACTTAACAAACAAAACCATGCTTTAATCAATTTCTGAACCCAATGAGGCATATTCTCTACCCCTTGGATACCCCTAAGCCTCCCACCAATCTCCGCTGTTTGTCGCGTATCCAAAACATTATCCGACTCAGCACCAGCCGAATCAACAACTGCGTCAGAGGACCTCAACAACTTAGCAGCCAGATTTCTCTTCAAGTCTATCAGAACTATAGAAATCCCATGTAACACGCTGTAACCACACAGACAGGTCAACAAACCCATTTCCTCACCACAGTGAAGAAAGTCATCTCCACAACGACAGACACAACAACCCTTACGCCGATGGATACAACTCAACGGATGAAAAACAACGACAGACCATCTGCACCCACACATAGGGCCAGCACCATCTAAACACGACCAAAGCACCAAGATCAACCGAAACCTCTGCGAGGAAATCAATAGGGACCCAATCCACCCGCCGCAAAGTGGGTCTCAGCGCCTCAGGCAACACGCACACCTGCAAAAAACTTCCCACTAAGCGCGGAAACTGCTCATTCCTATTATCGAGGTTGGGTGAGCGCGCGAAAGATGCGTTTATCGAGCGCGTCTACGCGGCGTGCGAGAGTGGGTGCTCGGCGATATACACGGCTGTGGCTTTTTGGAGGGTATGGAGATATTTCGCGGGGAGGCCCAGGCCTGCTTGGGTGAGGCCGGCGTGCCTGAAGGTGAGGGTGGAGCTTAGGTAGTAGCAGTTATGTTTCTTTTTTGCAGTTTAGACAGTGGGTGTGCGATACTGATGGGGGTCCCTTAGCAGGGTGTTCAGGATGCACGTGCCTAAAGTGCCTGTTGAGCTGGTCAGGATGACAACCTGGGACTTGGTAAGCGTGTCCGACTGAGCAATCGTTTGCAGCCGAGTATTGTATATCCTTTCGGTGAACTACTTCAAGGGATCGTCTCGCTCTGAGCATTGCATCCCTGCCTGCTTCATGGGTGACAGCATCATCTTGGATGAGTTGAGAGTTGTCTTGGCAAGATCAAACACCGACGGGTCGAGGT